GAGCAGATCTGAATCCTGAAAGTGAAGAGCAGGAAACCAACTACCACGGGGTGGGCAAACTTTTTGACTCGAGGGCCACAATGGGTTCTTAAACTGGACCAGAGGGCTGGAACAAAAGCATGGATGGAGTGTTTGTGTGAACTAATATAAATTCAAAGTAAACATCATTACATAAAAGGGTACAGTCTTTTTTTTTTTAGTTTTATTCATTTTAAATGGGCCCGATCCAGCCCGCGGGCCGTAGTTTGCCCACGGCTGAACTAGGCTCTTACCCAGGGTTCCTGTGGTCTTTGCGGCAGAGACAAAGTGCCAGGTTGGACCAACCACTATACTCAACCCAAAATGACAATTTCAACTCTCATGAGCGAATGTTACCCAGGTGTTAACAGAGAGCTTGGAGTCTTTCAAACTTCATGATTTATGTAATTTTCTAAGTTCATGTTAATGAAAAGAGTCTAACCTTTACTATCTACTTACGTGGTCCTTTGAACTCTTCCTACATTCTAAAAATTAGATTGGCCATTCTAATTTTACTACATTCTCCCCCCCCCCCCCCCGCCCAAAAAAAAAAAAAACAACAAAAAACATTATCACCTAGAGAGGAAATTAATTGGATCATTTTTTTTCCAGGGCAGAATTTTATTTTTTTAAAATATATTTTATTGAATTTCTACAGAGAAAAAGGGAGAGGGATAGAGAGCCAGAAAATCGACGAGAGAGAAACAACGATGAGCTGCCTCCTGCACACTGTCCACTGGGGATATGCCCGCAACCAAGGTACATGCCCTTGACCGGAATCGAACCCGGGACCCTTCAGTCCCCAGGCCAACGCTCTATCCACTGAGCCAAACCGGCCAGGGTCCAGGGCAGAATTTTAAAATGATCTGTAAAGCTGCCCAACCAGCATGGCTCAGTGGTTGAGTGTCGACCTATGAACCAGGAAGCCATGATTCAATACCAGGTCAGGGCACATGCCTAGGTTTTGGGCTTGATCCTCAGTAGCGGGCGTGCAGGAGGCAGCCAATCAATGATTCTCCCTGATCACTGATGTTTCTTTCTCTCTCTCTCTCTCTCTCTCTCTCTCTCTCTCTCTCTCTCTCTCTTTCTCTCTGAAATCAATAAAAAAATATTTAAAAAAAAAAGATATCCTAAGGTAGCAGTTCTCAACCTGTGGGTCGCGGCCATCGGAAAACACATATAGCATATCAGATATTTACATTACGATTCATAACAGAAGCAAAATTACAGTTATGAAGTAGCAAAGAAAATAATTTTATGGTTGAAGGTCACCACAACATGAGGAACTGTATTAAAGGGTTGCGGCATTAGGAAGGTTGAGAACCACTTAATAGCATACTCCTACTGTTCTTATTTCTCTTCCTTATACTCAACTCTTTTTTTAAAAAAAATATTACGTTAGTTTATGTAAGTATACTTACTATTAGTAAAAACTACAAAGTCATAAACTTAAAAAAAAAAACAGAACTGGAAAGAAGATTTTCTTCCACTGCAGAGGGGGGAAACTGCATAAACAATGGCATACCACCTTCTGAGAAATAATCAAGCATTAATTTTGATTTACAAGATTGGCTGAGGAGTTTTAGTTCACAACCTTTCATTCTTCAAATAAAATTTACCTTCTTTATTCAGATTAATGATGCTTTAAGATGGTTATAATATTTAAAATATTAAAATGGATAAAATAAACCCCTAACCTTCAAAATAGCATATACACATAGCTTTAGTTATTCCCAACCTTGAATGTTATGCAATCGAAGGAATCACACCATTTATGCTCTGTATCCCACAAATCTGGATGTGTGGACTTAATCATGTCGGCATTAATCAAGACAGTCTTCTTGCTCCTAGTTATCTGCAACTGTTCTGTTACATGATGAACTGGATTTTATACTTTCTTTCAAGATCTCCACAGAAGAAAGGTGCTTTATCTGGTCATTTATGAGTCAATTATAGAAAAAATCAGGGAGTGAGCAAACCTTCGAATGCTAAACCATCAACAAGAATGGCTACCTGGTTTATTCACCAACACTGCTGAAAGTTGTAGTTTTTCACAAAAATGTTCCAATCCTTTAAAAATAGAAATAGCCCTCATTTTACAAAGTCCAATAATATTCCTATATCTGAACATCCTTTACTTTCATAAGTGAAGACATACCAGTAGGTTGTTTTTGTTTTCTCTTTTAATTTTTAGAAACTCTCAAGTTCATACAGAAAATAAAAGACACTCACAGGCATTCATCACTAGATCCCCACGGATTTCTGGCTTCCAGTCATCCCACGATGTTTCAAAGCCGTCAGCAAAACGGATGCAGAAGTTTTTGAAATGCCCCTTACTAACCAGAGACTCAGAAGAGCAAGCAGTGATGAGAGTGCTTTCAATGGTCAGCACCAAGGCAGAGCCAGTGTCCAGGTCTCCGCTGTGATTGGACTGCAAAATATGTTAAAGAGGAAACAAGACAAAAGGTGACAACTTTTAAATTTGGAAATTCTCATAGAATTCCTGGAAACAAAAATCCATAAAGGGGGAAACCCAGAAAGCTTCATTGGAAAGTAGCTTAGAAAGATGCCTACTTTAAAAATTACGCAAGTGAAATGCATTTCCATGTGCTTTTTGTTTTAAACTAAATTTGAAAAAGGCTAATTATCTGCTTTTCTATGTCAAGCTTCTGTTTTCGTGTGGGAAAAGTTTGTTCTTTGCATTCTGACCACCACCCTTGGTGTGTGGGGCCCTCCTGAGTCCATACATCATGTGATTAAAGGTTACCATTCAACTCCTGAGACACAAACATAGCACATGGTGTCAATCCTCAACCCGGAGTTTTTGTTTTGTTTTGTTTTTAATATATTTTTATTGATTTCAGAGAGGAAGGGAGGGAGAGATGGAAACATCAATGATAAGAGAGAATCATTGATTGGCTGCCTCCTGCACGCCCCCTACTGGGGATCAAGCCCACAACCCAGCATGTGCCCTTGACCAGAATCGAACGTGGGAACCTTCAGTCCACAGGCCGACGCTCTATCCACTGAGCAAAACCAGCTAGGGTAACCTAGAGTTTACTAAAAAATAAATTCATTCAACAACTGCTTACAGATTATTTAAGATAAACTATAACAGTAAAATAAAGGCCTCTGTATTTGTTTAATTGCAACTTTTTGGTCTGACAGGGTTTCATAACCTTTTCTCTCTCATGCACATGTGCATGCAAATGTGTGTTCCTGAGAATTAGTCCCAAAAGTTATGAAGACAAAATTCTTGTTGCTTATTGTTCAAGGTCAAAATTAAGAGTTATCAGATGGGCCCTAACTGGTTTGGCTCAGTGGATAGAGCGTCGGCCTGTGGACTGAAAGGTCCCAGGTTCGATTCCGGTCAAGGGCATGTACCTTGGTTGCAGGCACATCCCCAGTAGGGCTTGTGCAGGAGGCAGCTAATTGATGTTTCTCTCTCATCGATGTTTCTAACTCTCTATCCCTCTCCCTTCCTCTCTGTAAAAAATCAATAAGATATATATATAAAAGTTATCAGATGGGAATTAATCTCATCACTATGCTGAGGCACATCAGAGTGCACAAATCTCATGAGATTCGCCTTTAATACTGTAGATGAATGAATAATGGTTGAAGGAGTTCAATCTTACTTGCTGTTTACTAAACTCAAGTTATAAACTGCTCTCCTAAGAAATCTATTGTGATACTCTATATACCTAGAAATGGTAGTAGAGTTGCCTGGTTCTTAGTGTTGGATGAGAACTTGAGTTCCGTACCTGTACAGCACTTGTGATAGGCAGGCAAATCCCCAGATCATTCACAGTGAGTTGCAGAAAGAGTGTCCCGAAGGCCTGGGCAGAGGTTTGCTGGATTCCGGGGAGCATATCTACTACTTCCTTTGTAGCCATGTGAATGTCCTTATGTAAAGCCATTCGTTGTTCATTCCAGTTGTCATAGGCAGCCTTATAGTTCAGCCAAAACAGCACAGCTTTCGGTGATTTAGGCAGGGAAGAAAGAAAATTTCTTTAAAAAAACTGTAAAGCTATATGGCAAGTAAACCCCAATAGCTTCAAAATCCCACTAATTAGTAAAAATTATTCCCAGAAAATAGTAGCATTAGGAATGAAAAGGATCTAAGATGATATAGTCAACTTGACAAATGAAACCAAGAAGCAAAAAGCAGACAATTGAAAAATGGCAGAAGGAAGAAGACAATCCAGGTCCATTCATTCATTTACTCATTCATTCAACAAACTGTTTGTGAAATGCCTGTTATGAGCCAGGCACTGGGATGGAAGAAAAAATGAAAGCAGTCACGGTCCCTGACCCTGCAGAGCTTACTGCTACTAATGTTTAAAAATTCCTAGAGGAGAGATGTAGAATACTAGGAGTATACATTGAAAAGATGGATTTTAGAGAAGAGGTCAAAGACATTTGAGTGTGTAGCAAGAATGAATTCTAAGGAAAATCTTCATTGAATGTAGTGCATAGAGGGAGCCTAAAGAGGAGATGAAGAAGGAAGGGCCAGAGGAAAAGAAAAAGCAAGTGTCAGTCAGGAACACAGAGTAGAAAGTATTTTAAGGAGTTGTTGAAAGCTGATGAGAGGCTGGTAAGATGAGAAATGAAATAAACAGGCACTGGATCTAGAAAAATAAATTGTTATCCATGACATTACCAAAAGAAATTTTCCAACCACCTGATCTTATCACCAGATAACACCTACCACCAATTTAAATCTTAAACAGCTTGCTAAATGGTTCGTACTTTTAAAACACAGTTCCAACATATTTACCCAATATGCATTATTTAGACCCACTCTATCTGCTCAGCCTTATTTCCATTATTTCCTTTTAGGAAAGCTGCTGCTGTATTTTCTTAGACCTCTGTACTCATATTCCTTCATTCAGGTTCTCTCTCATTTGGCAAATATTCATTTAATTCCTGCTATATATGCCATGGACTGTTCTAGACCATTGGATGCAAAGGCAAATAAGACAAGCGTTCATTTCCTTGTCTCCCTGGTGATCTCTTTACTCCAAGTTGAATCTGAAGAATTGGTGTCTCCTCTAAGCAGCACAGGTGAAGGTAGAGACTCCCTGACCCCCTAGAACAGTGGTTCTCAACTTTCCTAATGCCGCGACCCTTTAATACAGTTCCTCATTTTGTGGTAACCCCAATTTCATTGTTACAAATTGAACATAATTAAAGCATAGTGATTAATCACAAAAACAATATGTAATTATATATGTGTTTCCTGATGGTCTTAGGCGACCCCTGTGAAAGGGTCGTTCGACCCCCAAAGGGGTCGTGACCCACAGGTTGAGAACTGCTGCCCTAGAACATGGATCTCTAACTCTGCTATGAGTCTACTTAGCACCTCCCACAGGGCTGAGAGTTCCTGGAGGACAGGATACTGTTTTCCGTATTCAGATTCCACTTCTAGACAGTACATAATCAATATTTAGAGTATAAGCAAATAAAGACATTAGCAAACCAAATGGGTACATTAGTTACCCAAACTAAAAAACTCAGCATTACAATTCATGTAGAAAGCAAATAACTTTAACAAGTAAAATGACTTTAAAAACTGAAGGGAATAAGCAAGAAACTGTTGGGATACTCCCATTTTAGATTTACACTGGTTAATTACAGTGATTTTTATCTGGTGTCATCCCCAACAGTTCCAAATCCAAGAAAAAAGTCTTGCCTGACTCTCACCTCTGTCAAAGGCCACCGGCTGCGCATACACGATCGGTCTATTCAAGGTAATAAGCACAGCTTCCCTATCTGAAGAGCCACTGATTTCTTCTCGGAGAGCATTTCTTAATCCAATTCTTGTTTTAAAATAGGCAACTTGATGAAAATCAGAACCAGCTTCCTCATAAACCTAAATTAAAAGTTCAATAAAATCAAATAATGGAAAGTGTTTTAATAAAAGAAACTAAAAGTTTTAACATCATTAATGGTATTGTGCACCAAAACAACTATAGTATATTTTTCTCAATTTCATGCACCAATAATATATACCTTATGCTATACCACAAACACCTGAAATCAATATAAAATATGAATGGGTATTTAAGAACTGAATGGAAAGTCAAACAAAGTTTGTACAAAATTGAGGATGAGGTCCATATTCTGAACAACAATGTATTAAATGTTTTACGATAATGAGATCCTTGCTCCTCTCAAAATGTTTTTATTTGAACAAATTAACTGTTTTCCTAAAGATGACAAGAAATTTTTGTTCATTTATTCCTCCCACATATTCTTTAATATAGGCAACTCAATTTTGAAAGTGTGACTGATATTCATTTAATCAGTTCTTCAAATCACAGAAGGGAAAAGGTTAAAATCTACATAATTTTTAGCAAAATAAAAACAAAACACTAAAAACTCTGAGTTGTGAATATTAATTTTTATAAAATACAGTCTGATTTACTGCTGTGTATGTGTATATATATATATATATATATATGTTTTACAACATATATGTTTAACATTTCGGCATGCAAAACTTGCCAATATTACAGCACAACTGAGAAACTTAGTAACATTTTTAAAAAATATATTTTATTGATTTTTTACAGAGAGGAAGGGACAGAGATAGAGAGCTAGAAACATCGATGAGAGAGAAACATCGATCAGCTGCCACCTGCACGCCCCATACTGGGGATATGCCCACAACCGAGTCCATGCCCTTGACCCTTCAGTCCGCAGGCGTCAGCTCTATCCACTGAGCCAAACCAGTTAGGGCAAAACTTAGTAACATTTTAAGAACTCACCAATGTTAGCACAAAGCATTGAAACAAAAACAATGTTTAATAAAATAAAGAGAAATTATAAGCACATACTTGTGAAGATACTGGATTAAGTTTCACATGGTTGCATTTGCACTAAACTATAACAATATACCACCAAAATACTCAATGAAATACCAAGGTAAAATTGTAAAGACCTTTATAAATTAATTTTCATTAGAATTTATAACCAGAAATTTTAGCAACTTAAAATATTTTCATAAATATAGTGATATTTCAAGTAGTTGAAATTGATGTGTAAAATATAAAAGCTACAGTTCTAATGTCAACACATTCTGCACTCACCTGATGTTTGACAATTTGTCCTAATGCCAGATTCAAATCCACTTGGCATTTACCAAATAGTTTCAGGTAGCTGCTGCTTCCTGGTAAGGCTTTGGTTTGAAGTCGGTTCGAAAGTTCCAGTTCAATCAATCCAGTTTCAAATCTCACAGCTCTCATTGATGGAGTTGTAGCTGTGACTTGAATACCCTAGCAGATTAAATGTTAGAAGGAAAAAAGGACTCTTAAGTCAACAATGTCCACCCACTCCAATGAAACCTTTTGATACGATAAAATAGAATGTTTTAAAACACACATAGGATGTCTAATAAACTGATAAAACAGCCAACATTCTTTAATTTCTCATTAGTAGGGACTCCCTTTAGTTAGTAAATTTCATTTCAGTATTTTGTATTAAAAATCTAGCCTGTTCATGGGTTAATTATAAATACATTATAATTAAATAAGTATTTGGTAAGAATAATTTTATTTTTAAGAACACTAATGTCTTAAAATATTGGAAATATGAAGGTTTCTATCAAGGTATTACTGCTAATTGAACAAGTGCACAAAATATTTCTTGCTGGTTGATCTAAACGTTCTGCATGGAAGGACATCCTAGGCTCTTTAAAATGCAGAAATATGTGCACACTGAAAAAATGCAAATAGGAAAAGGCCCTAGATCAGTGGTTGGCAAACTCATTAGTCAACAGAGCCAAATATCAACAGTACAACAATTGAAATTTCTTTTGAGAGCCAACTTTTTTAAACTTAAACTATATAGGTAGGTACATTGTTATTGACTTAATTAGGGTACTCCTAAGGCTTAGGAAGAGCCACACTCAAGAGGCCAAAGAGCTGCATGTGGCTCGTGAGCCGCAGTTTGCCAACCACTGCCTTAGATTATAGTCAAACAATTATAAAGCATTTTCTTTAGTGGATATACTTCATTTCTATTCTCTAACTAGCATATTTATGTCTCATATGAATTTTCTATAAAAAGCAGGCATTAATTAATTTGAAAAATCCTTCTAAGAGTAACATTCTTATTGCTATGTCACCTTAAACTGCAAGTTGAGGGAATAGAGTAGAATCTTAGGCTTCTCTCCATCCGCTGTCCCATCGTGTTCATTCCAGAGAGGAATTGGCTGCTCCCCGCCTAAAAGAGGTTAAAAAATTGAGAGATTAGGATAATTTCTTTAAAAGAAAAATTTCTATTTTGTGCATTAAAAAAAAACAACAACACATAAAACATTTATTTTCTTTTGACTGAGCATTAAACCAATCTTTTTAGCAGGTTACTTTAACTGAGGCAGATGTATATAAGCCAGGGATAATGCTATATCCATAGAAACTTCTTAAGCACATTTTATAAGGACTAAATTAAAACATTATCTGAATAATAAAACCAAATGTGATTATACATGCCAGAAAATGTATTTGAGGCAAAAAAGTGACTAATTTCTTCAATCAAAAATGTGAACTTTGTTGTTTATATTTTGACTAGTGGCCTTGTGCACGAAATTCATGCACATTAAAAAGGAATTAGAGGAAATATTTTAATATTGCTATTTGCCCTTTCTCTATAATAGAAGTGTCAAAGATGAAATAAAATTAGTAAAAATCTTCCTCCTGCGGGACCCAGAGTCAAGTCCCCGCCCACCTGTGTGCACCTCGAAATTGTCCGAGACCCAGACCCGGCTGGCCCCACCCCCATCAAAGCCCCGCTGGGTGGGGGGGGGGGCACAACCTCAGGTCCCCCATCAAACCCCACCAGGTAGTGGGCACAGCCTCAGGTCCCCCGGTCCAGCGATAGGGTGGGGGGTGTGGCCTGAAGTCATAAAGCCCCACTAGGCTGAAGGTGCAGCCTGAGGTCCCCTGTCAAGCCCCTCTGGGCCGGGGGTGTGGTTTCAGGTCCCCCGGCCCAGCGCCACACAGCCTTAGGTCCCTGCTGATCGCTCATTATGGGAACCCCACCTCTGCTGTGGGCGCAGCCATCTTGTGATGGCATGATGGAGTGATAGTCAATTTGCATACTGCCTCTTTATTATATAGGATGTGCAAAAGAAAAAATAAAGGTGGAGAAATGAAAAATAAGGTAATACACATTAACAATAAAGAGTGTGACAGCAAAGATTATTGTGTAAAGTTTTTTAAATGAGGACAGGACACCTTGGAGGTTAAGTTCCTATTAATAGACCATTTGTTGCCCAGGCAATGTGGTACACTCAGGGAATAACGTTCTAATATTTTAATATATAACTTCTATATGTACTTGTCTTTTCTTTTATGAACTTCTCTGCATGCTTATTTTTCCAATATCCTATCTTAAAATGAACCACCTTTCTGTTTGTATGTTGAGTTCATCATCAGCCCAGAGAGCATACAGATGGAATGGAAGTTTTTTCCTATTAAGGACCATAGATGCATCAAAAGAGCCAAGAAGCAAACAGATTGCCCTAGCCAGTTTGGCTTGGTGGATAGAGCATCGACCTGGGTACTGAAGGGTCCCAGGTTCAATTCCGGTCAAGGGTACATGCCCAGGTTGCAGGCTCGATCCCCAGTAGGGGGCATGCAGGAGGCAGCCAATCAATGATTCTCTCTCATCATTGATGTTTCTCTCTCTCCCTCTCTCTTCCTCTCTGAAATCAATAAAAAAAACCAACTGTTAAAGAAAAAAAAACAGATGAAAGAGCAGTTTTTGTTTGCTTAAGATAAAAATGTAATATTTTATGGGCTTTCAAAAAAGCCATAAAAAGAACTCGTTTCTTTTTTTATTCTTTTTTTTAAAGAACTCTTGCACTTGTAACAATATGGATGGATGTTGAGGTTATTATGCTAAGTGAGTAAGTCAATCAGATCACTTAAATGAGGAATCTAAAAAAACAACTCACAAATACAGTAAACAGACTGGTTTGTAGCTACAGGGGAAGAGAGTTGGGGGGTGGGCAAAATGGGTGAAGGAGGGCAAAGGTACACACTTCCAGATATAAAATAACTAAGTCCTGGGGATGTAATGTACAGCATGGTGACTTTAGTCAATAATATTGTACTGCATATTTGAAAGTTTCCAAGAGAGTAAATCTTAAAAGTTCTCATCATAAGAAAAAAAATGATAATTTTGTATGATGATAAAGGGTAACTAAATTAATTATGGTCATCATTTCATAGTGTTATAAATATCAAATTATGTTATACTCCTGAAACAAATATAATGTTATATGTCAATTTTGCCTCAAAAAAAGTCTATTCATAAAAATTCTACTTGTCTTGTGTTGATCTATCACTACCTTGAATATCTTTTATCTGGTGCCTGAAAAAATTTCTTAAAATTTAAAAGCAAATGCTCCACCTCTTACAAAATGTACTACATAATCATTTTAGTTTATAGAAATATAAGGAACACTATTATATTAGTCACATTAACTCCACAGTTCTTTACCTCATTATAAATTAAATTTATAGATGTGGTCCAGCTATTATTTTGACATGATTATATTCATACTGGAAATATTCAGCCTCTAGAACAATTATACAGAGTCAACTTGTTTTCTACCCTAATTCCTCTTAATACTTCATCTTATGAAATAAAATTCAATTGAACATTTTAAAAATCAAACATGTATTTCTTATTAAAATGTAAAGCTGTGATTAAGAAGCTCAATGGTAATCTATTCTTGAGAGATAGCAAAAATGTATGGGTTGTTATAAACAATTTACCATGTAGCCAGCATATAGTCACCATCGGGTATAGAATAAGGTGGCAATCTTAATATTGATCTAAATTTTGTTCCTAAATGACTAAGATTGGTTTGGTCAATAGACATACAAAAAGTTCTCTCTCTCTCTCTCTCTCTCTCTCTCTCTCTCTCTCTCTCTCTTTCTTAAGGTAAGCATAAAGAAGCTTTGTGAAGTTTATAAATCATGAATGTATGTGTTACACACAAGAAAAGTAATAAGCAAAAGAACCTGTAGGCTGGAAAGCCAGAAAAGGCACATCTTATTTGTAGGGAGTCACTCAATAATTATGTCCAAAGGACATGCTCAATGCTCATATCACGGACCCATAGGCCATGCAGCCCATGAGAACAAAACCTGCTGCTATATGCTCTATACTATAAGGTGCCATATCAGCTCACCAGAGACTTTTTGTATCACTTCATTAACTTCCTTCATGAACACTTTCTGGACAAACACCAAGTGGTTTAGAAGATCAGTTGTGAGATTATGTTCAAAAGAACCAACCTGCCAAACAAAATTAGAGCATTAGGCTGACACTACTGACTGACTTAGTTTTAAATACATTTTTGCTCACACAAGTAATCCCAAACTCTGTGGACAATTATCTACATACTATTTGAAATCAATACTTTGAAGAAGGGTTAAAAATATTCAGATTCTCCAATACTTTACTGGCCTATTACAGGCCATTCCCTCAGTTAAAAGAAATAAGTTAACAGTAGCCAATAGGAATAAATAATTTGAAAATGAATGGAAATTATAATTTAATTATGTAATCTGATAATTTTAAAATTGAAATTTTATCTATATTAATATTTATTTTTATTGCCACTGTTGTATTGTTGGAACCATAAATAAATGTCATTATAATAAAATGAACCATGAAAATATTGCAGAGATGGATGTGAAACCCAATGTAAGAAATAATGAGGTCAAAGATGACCAATAAAAAAACATGCTTCAGTTAACCTATAGAGGGAGGGACATACACACACATACACATGCACACACATACACATACCAGATTCAGTACAGAATTCTGTAGAAATAAATGGTTTAATAATTTGTCTTAAAAGTTTGGATCACTACATATTTTGATACACCTAAAACTTGAAGGCCTCTAATTACAGAGAAAGAAAATTAAAAAGTAAACTTACTTCTGCCACACAACGTAGATAATTTCCCTGTAAAAAGTACCCTTGTTTCGAAGGCAGTTCATCTATACTCCACACCTGATCTGAATAACTATCATGCTCTTCCATGATGTATTTTCCAGACATAGTAACAGGAGGCAGGTTAAGACTGGCAGAAGGAGGAATAGTAGACATATCTGTGGCAGAAACTTTTGAAGTAAAACGCAACCTGTGATTTGGCAGCTCAAATGTAAACCTGGTCTGTGCACCTGTAAGAAAGAAGAAAAGTTATTGCTTGTTCATTCAGGTGCTCACTCACCCATTCATTCCTTACTTTGTTCAAAAATGGTGCCTAAGAAAAATATATGCATATCCCAAAACCTATATTGAAAGATATGAAAAAGATATTTAAATGTGCTCATATTTCCTATCTTTTCAATATACTGTATGTATGGTTACTATAAAGAGTCAGTCAGTAAGTATTATTAAGCCAGCAAAAATTATTTATTAAGCCTAGTAGGTGCCCAACATTGTGTTAGGTGCTAGAAAAACACTTAAAATGTTCTTCGTTTCATAGAAGGCAAAAAGAAATTACCCTTATTACAGAAGAGTTATAACAAATAGGTGCAAGAAAAATTAATTAAGAAGTAGTAGATGCCTTATTAAAATCAAGCTCTATCACTGACTGTCACATGTACTGTGTAACAATACCCATGTGCTCCTTTCCAACCAACCAAGTCTACTGATAGTGTTCTGTACATTACCAATTCTCTCCACTCAAACAGCATTAAACAGACTATTTTCCCTACATATATAAGTATATAAATATATATACTTGACAAATGGATTATAAAATGTGTACGAAGGAGTACAAACCAAAAATAACCAAGACAACTCCTAAACAAGGAAAAGCCAGGTTATCAATATAATATTGGTGCAAATAGGGCAATGAAACATAACAGAGAACTCTGAAATAGATACCACATACATAAACACTTAATAAATGACAGAACTGGATTATATACCACTGGGGGAAAAACAGATTAGTCAATACACGATGCTGAGATAACTGGTTGTGCATACTACTCCAGACACCAAATTAAAGAAAAATAATAATCATTTCCATATAGATTAAGAAGTATATAAAAAGTAAACCTCTAAAACATTTACTAAAAAATATAGAATATTTTCATGATCCTGGAAGGAAAAGAATTTCTTTAAGACATAAAAGATAGAGCCCAGTTGGTGTGCTTCAGTTGGTTGAGCATAGTCCCATGTACCAAGAGGTCACCAATTCGATTCCAGGTTAGGACACAGGTCGGCGGCAAGCTGGATCATGCAGGAGCATGGAGCATGCAGGAGGCAGCTGATGGATATTTCGCTCTCATCGATGTTTCTTCCTCTCTCCCTCTCTCCCTCCTTCCCTCCCTCCCTCCTTCACTTCCACTCTCTAAAAATCAATGGAAAAAATACTCTTGGGTGAGGATTAACAAAAAACAACTTTAAAATGCACACGATAGAGGAAAATATTGGTAAATTCAATGACAATAAAATATCTGTTGATCAAAAGACAACTCAAAGTGAAATGATAGCCCTATGACTGGGTGACAATATATGTTAAACATAAAATATCAAAGATTTTAATATACAAAATATATAAAGAATTACTGTGAATCTAGAAAAATACAAATGACCCAATGTTAAAATGGGCAAGAAACAAATGAGAACCATCAACAGAAATGTCATGTGAGAAAACATATAAGGGCCTCTTAATAATATAAAAAACCAGTTTCATTAGTAATTGCAGAAATATAAATTAAAACACAATGAAGTACCATTCCACATTTACCAGAGATGAAAAAATTTAGGAGTATTGACAGAATGTGGAACAAAGGACACTCTCATCTCACCTGGTGGGAGAGAAAATGCTGGCAGGCACAAGCACTTCAGAAAAGGTTTGTATTTCCCAGTGAGGTGTAGAGGCATTTACCCCAGTCTAGCTGTCCACTCCCAATAACCACCCTTGAGAAACCGTACACCAGGACATGTATATGAGATCGACTGTAATAGCAATGTTGTAAAATGGGCCAAAGGTCCATCAGTTGCAGAATGGATAAATAAATTGTGATATAATCACTTAATGAACTACTACTATATTTCAGTGAAAAATGAATAAGCCACAGATATATAAATAGATGAACTTCAAACAAAATGTATAGCAAAAACAAAATTCCAAGTTAAAAGATATGTTAGTGGGAAGATTCCATGTAAATGGAGTTCAAAACAGGCAACAGCAAATAAACTTTAAGTCATTTATGAGTATATACATGTGCGGTAAGAAAAGCAAAAAACTGGGGACACAAATTCATGACAGTGGTTATCCCCTGAGCAGCCATGGGAATGTTATCTGGTAGTGGTAATCCTTGAAGAGACTTCAAAGGATTGGTATTTTCTAATTCTTAAGCAGACTTATTATTCTTTAAACTGTGTGTATATAATTTAAATTTATATATGATACATTTCAGGATAAAAATATAACAGCAAAGCATTTTTGGTCAGCATATATGAGGATCACAAAATCTTTTTGAAGAAGTCAAATTACCTTTAATTTGAGCTAAAGGCGCCCAATCTGAACCTAAACCATGTTATTCAGGCAATACGTAACTGACAGATGTAGAAATTTATTCAACTTAAAGTTTAACTGGAGAAATGGCCTCCATAGTCCAATAAGTCTAAAAAGTTCAGATGAAAGTAGGGTACATGCTTGCTATTAAGGGAGGTGCATTGATAGCTGCTATTTGACTGAGGAATATCATTAATGAAATTTAAAAGTGTTCCGATTAAAATTTTCATATAATATCTATACAACCAAATATATCTTTTCATCAAACAATTGCTAATTATAAAACCAATACTCCATTCTGAGACAGAATTTGGAAGCAGATGCTACCTGTCATCCCATGGCTCCGCATCCTGCCCATCTTGTACTCAGCCCGCAGGGAGGGCAGCAGCGCAGCTCCAATGGCAATGCCGTCCAACATGGTGCTGAACTTCAGGACCAGAGGCTTCTTTTCTAAGCCTTCCGGCAGCTGAGGAAATTCATTTGTTTCAATAGGGGTCTGATTAACACTCGTTGGCGTTTTTTCAGAAGGTAGGGGAGTTGCAACATCTTCTTTTACAGGCTGTGTGCTACAAAGCAAAAATAATAATAATTAAAAAAAACACAATGGCTACCATTTTATTATATAAAATTATTGGAGTTCTTAATAAAAATAGCAAAAATATACTATAAACAGATGTTTTATTTCTATTTCCAGACCATATTGAGACTTCCTAGAAACAGCCATTAAAAATGATGATCCAAAGAAGCAAGCAAAAAGAAATAATCACAATATAAACTGGAATGCTATAACACCAAGGCCATTCATATCATCAATTTAAAACTAATTGGACTTTAGATTCAGGTTTGTCTGCTTCCAAATTCCATGACTTTAGCATTGTGTACTCTACTGTTGCTTGTAAGACTATTACTGCTGGGGCCTACTATTGCTACCATTATTAATAACATTAATAACACCAACAGCCACAATAATTGAGTGCTTATCTGTGCCAGGTACTGTTTTCAGTGCTTTGTGTGTTTTATATCATTTATTCATTGATCGCACAAAGCCCTTTGAGTGGACACTATTATCTCCACTTTGTTAAGGAGGAAATATGGCCAGAAAGTGGTGAAACCAGGACTTGAACTCATTTAGTCTGACTACAGAGTCTGATTTTCTAACTATTACACTTTCAGGGCAATACAGTCTAATAAGGAAAAATTCCTTAGAGTATTTTAAACTAAGGCTTATGTGACACAATCTGGATTCCATATTCCACAGACAGAAGAAACATTCATATTATTACTACTTAGGCAACTTTAGATAGGAATGAATATTACATCAGAATTAAAGATCTAGATCAGGGGTCCTCAAACTTTTTAAACAGGGGGCCAGTTCACTGTCCCTCAGACCGTTGGAGGGGCAGACTATAGTTTAAGAAAAAACTATGAACAAATTCCTATGCACACTGCACATATCTTATTTTGAAGTAAAAAAACAAAACGGGAACAAATACAATATTTGTATTTGCATGTGGCCCGCGGGCCGTAGTTTGAGGACCTCTGATCTAGATAGAACAACTGGAAAAATCACTGCTTTTGGACACCACCAAAAAAAACCACTAATTTTTTTTTTATTACCAGGATGGGAAAAATAATAAGAACATATTTTTATCTTTTACTTATCATATATTTATTAGTTATTCATTAGTTATAGCTTTGGAGACTAGTGATGCAGACCCATGAATAAGGGCTCCAGACACAGGGAATAAAGGGTAACATGCCAAGGTCCAAATTATTGCCTTTTAAAACATTTGTGTGGTATGATCATACACTGCCTTGAACCACATATAGAAAGGACAGCACAAAACCATGAATGGCACATAAATGGGCACTGAAACTTTTGAAATCTATGCAGTCATAAATTTCAATGAGTTAAGAGTAAACAAGAATTGATACATTCCTAGAATTTGTCAGTTGGCTCTTTATTAGTACCTCTTATGCTGCCCACATATCTCTAGGGCTCTTAAGCTTTATTGATGCCCAATGGAACACTGACAATGGCACTTGTGACATCCTATCTAATAATAGACAAACATGGTCATTAACCATACCTCCGCTACGCTTCCCATTGGCTAATCAGCAGGATATGCAAATTAACTGCCAACAAAGATGGCGGCCGGCAGCCACGCAGCTGAAGCGAACAGGAGGCTTGCTTGCTCCAGTGATGGAGGAAGCCAAGGTTCCCCTCCTGCCATGCTCAGCTCTGAGCTCCGAGCTCCGGATGCAACAATGTTGCAATTATAGAAGCTAAACAAACCCCAGGTACCTGCTTTCAGCCAGCAGGGCCTCAGAGCTTGGAGCGGCCAGTGATGGCAACAGAGTTTCAATTATAGAAGCTAAACAAACCCAGATACCTGCTTTCAGCCGGCAACGGCCTCAGAGCTGGAGCGGGCTCTCAGCTCCAGTGACAGCTATAGAAGGTAAATAAATCCCAGAATAAAACAAAAAGAAAAAAAAAAGAGGCTGGGAGCTTCAGTCACCCACCAGCCTGAAAACAGCCCTCAGCCCCTCATCCAGGCTGGCCAGGCACCCCAGTGAGGACCCCCACCCTGAAGGGGGTGTGACCAGCTGCAAACAGCCATCAGCCCGTCATCCAGGTTGGCCAGGCACCCAAGCGGGACCCCCACCCTGATCCGGATCACCCTTCAGGGCAAACCAGCCGGCCCCCACCCGTGCACCAGGCCTCTATCCTATATAGTAAAAGGGTAATATGCAAACTGACCCTAACAGCAGAAAGACTGGGAATGACTGGTCACTATGACACACACTGACCACCAGGGGGCAGCTCTGCTCAGCCATAAGCCGGGCTGATGGCTGCCAGTACAGCGGTGGTGGTGGGAGCCTCTCCCACCTCCTCAGCAGCGCTAAGGATATCTGACTGCAGCTTAGGTCTGCTTCCCACTGGCAAATGGACATCCCCCGAGGGCTGCTGGGCTGCCAGAGGGATGTCTGATTGCCATCTTAGGCCCAATCCCCTGGGGAGCAGGCCTAAGCCAGCAAGTGGTCATCCCCCAAGGGGTCCCAGACTGTGAGAGGGCACAGGCCGGGCTGAGGGACCCCCCTACTCCATAGTGCACAAATTTTTGTGCACCGGGCCTCTAGTATAATATAATATCCAGTACTACCTACCATCATGTTTGATTACTTTCCACCTGCCCCTGTGTCTATCATGGTCAATGCTTAGTCTTCCTCCACATTGCTGTTCACACAGCAAAGAATTGTAGAGAATGACAAAACTCGATGGAATAACTTACAGTGTAGAAGGTTGTCTGATGAGGTCTGAGATCTGCTTCGACAGCTGGTGAGAACTCCGAACCATCATGCTATGTAAGGTGGCGGGGTGCTGTGGAATGTTGATGCTGATAGCTCCGACTTTGAACACGGCAGCGTTGTTCGTCTTCAACCCTCTTTGGGCACTGTAGAGAGCCTGGGACTTGGCGATACTGCATTTCACTACAGTTCTAGCAACAGGAAAGGAGGACTATTAAAATATAGCCAAGTAAAGATAAATTTTGAAAAGTAGTATTATTGAGAGCAAGACAAGTGCTTTTAAGTTACTCATTGAACTAAACACATTAATATTTTTTTCATGTGTTTAAAATCATACATTGAATGAGTATTCTATAAATATTGAAATACATTTATTTTACAATGTTTGCTAGACACACCAAATATTCTATTTTAATACAGACTTTATAGAAGAACATACGTCTGGGATCTTGTGTAAGTAAAAGCATGAACACTGACACATTACATACATGCAACACAAAATTCCATTTTCACTTTTTTTCTCCATTCAGAACTCCACTATTCTCCTCCAACTTATTTTAGGATCTATACAACCACTAAGAAAGCACAAACACTGAATATGAAAAGATAAAAATACAATATACTTCTTAAAATCTAAACAAATTAATAATCATCTAATATATTAAAATATACTAAGAGAAATTAACAGGAAGGAAGAAATTAACTTGAATTTTCTATTTTCAGTGAGTAACAAAGAAATGACAGAAGTCCAATTCATAACAAGTAACTACTACTTATTTAAAAACTGCTACGCTTTACTGATATAGACATAAAGCAGAAATATTCTCTCTCTTGATCTCTTATGCTCTCTTTCCCGTGGCTAGAACAGTACCCTGAATGTGATAAGCACTCACTGAATCTTGTGAAATGAATGAGCAGAAAGAAGTACAGCAGAAGAATGGCTCTCAACACGGCAACTATGGAATTACACAGATAGCATGTGATAGGTAACATGTACAGAAACCATGACAAAGCAGTCGTTGGCATACAATGGAAAGGTGCCTGTCAATGAACTGCACCAGGAAAGGCCCAGATAGTAAAAAGATGGCCTCTAACATAAATGCTATCTTTCAAATGAGCAAAGGATTCTTGAAAAAGAAATAGATTTAGCAAAGCACTCCGTGATGAAAGGGAAACAATAAATCCTCTCCAGCTACTATGACTACTAAAGTGGACTTACTGGTAGTTTTTTTTTTTTCAATACCTATTAAAATGGCATTAATATGGAAGAGTGATTTCTAGAAAACAATAATTTCTCTAATTTAAAATTAGTGAATTTATTCTTTTTTAGTACTTCTAATTGGCGGATAAAGAGATATAGATCACATTAATCTCAACGAAGGGCTGGTAATTGATATTTTGTCTATGGCCTGTTATCATTATGCAATGAAACAAATCTCACCAAGTATGATAATCTTACCAGCATGGAACTTAATGTACAGATTCAAATATTTATTCAACATATTCAAATTTTACAGAAAATGCCCAAAGAAATAACTAGTGCTAAGTAACACATTAATTTGTCACAGTGATAAGACTCATGTGATGAATATTTTAAAATATAGCACTCAATATAGCTCACTACTACAAAATATCAGATATACATGAGTCAAATCAAGGCAATCAAAATACAGAAGCACATATAGAAAAGTCATATATAAAATCTGTCAACAGAGCAATAAACACTCCTCATCTTAAAACAGGACCATAAGGTTGAGATGTGTAGATATTTTCAATGTTAGTTTTAATAATTATTTTTGCAATTAGTGAAAAATCTTTTGCAAAGTGAAACACTTTGGCTTCTACTATCACGTCAAACATTAACAAGGATATGTGATAATATAAATTTTGACAGTAACATGTCTAAAAAGAGCACAAGCAATGCACACCTACAGTGCTACAATCTTTCAACAACAAAGCAAAAAGGTAGCCGTTACCTGTGTGTTTGCTGAATACCAGTAAGCTTTAATCTACAAAAGGGTCTATGTTAAAACTACAAAATAATAACTAACTACATACATTCACAGCCATGCAGATAACATTATCCTTAAAACTATTCAGTGCTATGTTAATCACAAAGCCCATGAAAAAGAATAATATGACATACAGAAACTCTTGTTTGGCTGTGCTTGTAGGAGATGTAGGAAAATCCTCCAGTCTACAGATGAAGATTCAAGAGGAAGCAGGAAACAAAAAGGAAGCAGATAAGCATTCATGCATAAATCAGTTACAACATGACCGATCATCTGGAAAGCTTTTCTTATTTCCCACTTTTACAATTTTCCTTCAAAGAACCTTTTAAACTACTTTTTTAGTTCTGTTTCCTTTTCTTTGAAATTGGAAATAAAAAGCCAAAGAATAAGTCCAGGAACACTTAACACTACTAGAATCTAGCAGTGAGTAATAACTTTTATTTTTCAAATATAAAAGTTAAGGGATCTTTCCTATGATTTTTTTTTTCTAAAGGCAAAAAAAAATCAACTGTCTAATACTTAGAAAGTCTGTTCAATAAATATGCTTTTGCAAGTTTAGAGACTATTTATGCCCTTCTCTTAAAACAGCGGTTGTCAACCTGTGGGTCGCCACCCCTTTGGCGGTCGAACGACCCTTTCACAGGAGTCGCCTAAGACTATCCTGCATATCAGATATTTACATTACGATTCATAACAGTAGCAACATTATAGTTATGAAGTAGCAACGAAAATAATTTTATGGTTGGGTCACAACATGAGGAACTGTATTTAAAGGGCCAGAAGGTTGAGAACCACTGTCTTAAAAGCTAATAGAAAATGGAGACAAGGGATCCAATAGGACAGTAAATAAAACACATAGGACATGTAAAGAAATTTGTTTTACTTTCTGAATAGGTTGGTGAGCATGGTACTTTAATTTCGTCAACAGGGGATGTGGAGCCGGAGGTCTGTGAGGACTGTCTACAGAAGCAACACGGCGAGGTGCCAGAAGGCGGGATTCAGGCCTCTCTTCCTTCTTACTGTACCATTTGAAGCATTTTAGGCAAACACTTTGATCTTTCTGAATCTTAATTTCTTGTTCCCTGAGGGGGATAAAGCCACCCTAGGTCACAGAATTGTAAATAATCTCTATGAGACTCCACAGTAGGTGCTTCTTAAGATAACAGTTGTTACATGAGAGCCCCTCTCCCACAGTGAATGATCAGGAAAGATCTTGTCTCTCCCGACTACTGGATTTCCTGGTCTTTTGAAAGACTTCTTAAGAAATACAAACTGGAACATTCAGCCAGCTAATATAAAATATGTTCTCTTTCATTCCAAGGTTTCAGGTCCAAATTCTCCAGCAAGATTTACACATCTATTTCAGGAAATATTCCCCCATATAGCTATCACATTAAAATATGTTTAAAATATTATTAATAGACCTGTAACTAGCCAATCTATGACTAATGTGTAATTTTTACAATGCTGAACCAAATCCCCTATTTAGTTAGTAATTAACATGATAGAGGCTTTCTAGGACCATTGTAGGATATATATATCTAGTTATAACCTTAAAAGCAAATTCTCAAAATCTAACCTAAGCACATTTTGTAATTTTAACATAAAACTGCTCCATTGAAAGGAAATTAGGAATGAAGATCTATAATCCCAAATTGTGTGAACCAAGTAAGTGTTTTAATGTATTGATAATAGATGAGTAATCTGAATATCATGTGTAAAGGTAATAATTCTAAACAGATCCAAGAATAGAACTTATAAGGAAAAGGACAGAGTCAAAAGAAAAGTGATATGGATTGTCATTCTATATAATAAAAACCTAATATGCTAAGTGTCCGGTCGTCTGGTCATCCATTCAACCAAAGCATAATATGCTAATGATATGCTAAGGCCACTCAACCACTTGCTATGACGTGCACTAACCACCAGGGGGCAGATGCTCCGACTGGTACGTTAGCTTGCTGCTGGGGTCCGGCCGATCGGGACTGAGCGAGACGGGCCAGACATGCCCTGGAGCCCTCCTACGGTCCTTCCCTAGCCCTATTGTGGGTGGATGGGTGGGAAGTAATCAACCAAAGACCATCCTATATAATAAAAGGATAATATGCAAATCGACCAAATGATGGAACGACTGGTTGCTATGACACGCACTGACACCAGGGGACAGACACTCAACACAGGAGCTGCCCCCTGGTGGTCAGTGCGCTCCCACAGGGGGAGCACCGCTCAGCCAGAAGCCCAGCTCACAACTGGCAAGCGCAGCCGCGGTGGCGGGAGCTTCTCCCACTTCCGTGGCAGCGCTAAGGATGTCTGACCGCCAACTTAGGCCTGCTCTCCAGAGGGTGTGGGCCTAAGCCATCAGTCGGACATCCCCCAAGGGCTCCCAGACTGCAAGAGGGCACAGGCGGGGCTGAAGGTCCCCACCCCACCCCCCACCCTGAGTGCATGAATTTTGTGCACCGGGCCTCTAGTAGTCACTATAAGAAGCTTACCTATACTATTAGAAGGGTCTCTAAGGCATTACAGTAAAATTGTTTAACTGCAAAAATGGCAAGAGGAAGTTTTAAAACCCAACATGAATATGGGTAATGATTGCTTAACATAAAACCTAGACAGTCTATATCCTTTGACTATAATTTTGTTTTATTTAACTATTTGAATTGTGCCAGCTTTTGCATCTTATGTTTAACCAAAATTTGCACTAGTGATGATTCTTCTTGATACATAATCTTACAATGTCCCAGGAGTCTACTTTTAAAGAGGGGTGAAGGAGGTAGTAAAACCACTTTCAGAAAGGCAAAATCACTTTTCTAAAACATTTCATTGTGTGATATTCTTAATGACAGAAATCATAATATCTGAAACATTAAATATATAAATTTCAAAATTCAGCAAGTGTGGGATTTATCCAATGAATTTTAAGTTTCCTATAAACTATAACAAACAAATTTAAGAATAAAAATCAATACACTTACTGTATATTTGGTGTGATCCCTTCAAGCAGCACAATATTAACCCCACCAATATGCGCAGTGGCACATGTCTCAGTCATCTTTTGATGTAAAACATCTTAAATGTGATGAAAAATAATTATATGAATTATAATAATTACACTTCATATTAAATTTGCATTTTACTCATAAAATGTTCAGTGACAAAAGATAATTTTAAAGTTACATAAAATTTAAACTATATTTTGAAACTACTTTTTAAAATTTCCTTGAAGTTTTATTTCTGTGTTCATATATACATATATGTATATAATATGTTAAAATTGGAATAATGCTAAATATTCAGTTTAACATGCCAATCATGCAGTACAGAGCCTAAAGGGCATTAAATAGCCTAATGACATTTTAAATCTCAGAAGTAATACTTAGTGCAGAACACATTTGGAAATTTTTATAAAACAAAAATAGGAAAAAGAAACTACATAAATTAACTCTCTGATCTACCTGGAAGTTTGGTTTTCTAGAACAACTGCCAAGCAGGAATTGGGGAGATGGAGTCAGTTTTCAGAAAAGCATCAGCAATATGGGAACGTGCCATACCTTTCATCTTCTCCTTCAGTGTGAAGCTGCCATGAATCCTCTTCAGCTCGGACTCCATTGTGAGCCCACCGATGTCCGCCTCCAGGTGTGTGCGGTTCACCATGCCGATCCCGAACACGATCAGGGTGACATGCTGGGGCTCCGCTGTCACCAAGCTGCGCTTCCTCTGCGTTTTTGTCACACTGTTATTGTCCTGTTCATTCTCAAACACCACTTTACAGGTTGGCTCTGTCGGGCTCCGAACGCCTTCATAAGTAAACAGAAACACACAAGTTTAGACATGAAAGCTGCAGAATGAAAGGACACTTATTTCTCTTTCCTTCCTTTTCCTGACCAGCTCTCCTCCTCCTCTTCCCTACCAAAATGACTTTTAAAGTATTTCTACATCTTCCCTTGGCCACACTGAAAGCAAACAGTCATTGACAGCAGGTGTGTGTGGCTCTACCAGAGCATCTTGCACAAGGTTAGAGAGGGTGGGAAATGGGGCACAGGAGTTCTGACCACATGACTATTCTCTCCTGACTGCCAACTGCTGTGCGTCTCAATTATCCACTCGTCACATGAAAAAAACCTCATGAGCCCTAGCCAGTTTGGCTCAGTGATAGAGAATCAGCCTGGGGACCAAAGAGTCCCGGGTTTGATTCTGATCAGGGGTATGTACCTTGGTTGCAGGCTCCTCCCTGGCCCAGGCCCTGGTCAGGGCACATGCAGGAGGCAACCAATGGATGTGTCTCTCTCACATGGATTTTCCTCTCTGTCTTTCCCTCTCTCTTCCACTCTTTCTAAAAGATCAATGGAGAAATATCCTCGAGTGAGGATTAACAAAACAAAAAAAGAAATCATGAACAACCTGAAGCCTTTCTTAGTATGTTTGCAATTCTAAACAGCAATTTAAAAAATATGAAACATCCATTACCTGCTGGTCCAAATGCGTCTGAAGATTTTTCCAGTATTCCTGTTGGATCAGAGATTAGAGAATAGAAGTTCAGCAGTTTGTACATGTTCTGCCAGCACTCGGCAGAGGGTTCACTCTGCTCTGACACGGTAATGGAGTCAGAGTCATCCATGGGGATCGCCATGTGATCCACCACGTCCTTGGAGCCTTTCCTAGACACTTTGGAGGTTCTTCTCTCAGATCTTCCCAATGAGTTTTTGTTTCGAGATTCCTTTTTGTTATTCTCAGGGTTGGTCCGTTTGTTCTTTGCATTATTTACTCTGGTGCCACCGTTAAGACTTCCTCTGGAACTGCGGCTGAAGTCAGAGGAGCGGAAATCCCGATGTTTTCTGGTTCTAAAGGTAGGTGTTGGCGAAGCTGATCCAGCTGTGTATCTGCTCAGTTTAATGTCAGTCTGAGTCGCTTTGATGTCATCTATCATTGTACTGAACTGATGAATGAGACGAACCAAAGCCATGTCCACGTGCTGGCTTATAGACTGACAGGAAATGGTGAAGTTGCAGTGGAAGGTATTGTAGTAACGCTTGTTAAGATCATGGAAAGAAAGAGCGTTGGTGGAGTTCTGAGGGGTGCACACAGACTTTTCCATCATGACTGCACTGATGCTAAAGGTTTCCAACATTAATGCCGGTTTGAACTCAAGTGGAGGAAGATTCACATGGCCTTGCCTAAAAATGTGAAAACAAATGACAAGGTTTTTATTTTCTCTTTTCTAGACTGTACAATCTTTATTAATTTATTAGCAAAATAATCTCCAAGATAATATGTTTATAAGTCATTTAAATACTTTTCAGCATGAAATCAAGTAGTTTACTTTTTTCACTAAGTCAACTTTTTATAAGTTGACTAGTCAAAATTAGCCTTATGTTAATGATTTCAGTGAAGAGATAAAACAATTTTTCTTGCCAACGATGTTACACCACACTGATGATTCCAATGTGAAGGGATTTGTTATCATAGTTTAAATAACACCAGTTCCCTAACAACATGGTTCAAAATTTACTGTGAACAATTGCATAAAGCACAAACTTGCTGCTAGCTCTTCAGTCCATGAGTCACTACATAAATAACGGACAGGCATCGTGATCAGTGACCAATCATATCACTTTGTCAAAGTCTGTCAGTGATTGGTCAATGCACATTTGTTATGCATTCACACCCAGACAGGGAAGCATATAGTGTGTTGCCTCCTTGTGACATTAAAAAAAAAAAAAAGATTATGATAATCGAACAGGGAATTGTACAGCAAGGATAAAAATGCAGCAATAAAACAAAAAAAAATTATAAGGCTGGTAGTGAAATTCAGTTAAATGTAAATGGAGCTATAGAAGAAACAGCTGACCATGGAGATGTTGCCACTTCGCTGTTCTAGAAACTAGATATGCAGCCAAAGGAGCGCAGGGAAGTCACACTTATTGGCATGAAGAGGAAACTGGTTGCAACAAAAAGGATGAGGAGCCCTGACCGGTTTGGCTCAGTGGATAGAGCGTCGGCCTGCGAACTGAAGGGTCCCAGGTTCGATTCCAGTCAAGGGCATGTACCTTGGTTGCAGGCACATCCCCAGGAGGGAGTGTGCAGGAGGCAGCTGATTGATGTTTCTCTCTCATCGATGTTTCCAACTCTCTATCCCTCTCCCTTCCTCTCTGTAAAAAAATCAATAAAATATATTTTTTTAAAAAAAAAAGGATGAGGACAACCAGGAGGAAGTGATTCTGGCAAAAAAATACACAGTAAAAGGAACTTGTGACAATGCTACATGACACTAAAATGCAAAGGATAAAATGTTGGAAACTGGTCAATACTTAGTGAAGTAGGACATTTTGCTAAGGCACAGAAAAGGTGCTCATTCTTTATTGTGAATCACATGACAAGAAGGCAAGAACTATTCAAACCACCCTTTGATGAGTTTTACAGAAGGAAATTTAATTTCAAAATATTCTCAATTACAATGTACTAAATATTAATTTTACTATATTTATCATTTTCTATATATTTATAATAAACAGTAAGAAAGATTTTAATTTTTTGACATTTTGTAAGATCAAAAAACAAAAGTAATCCTAATAATCATTAAGGTTTTTAGCTTGAACAGTCATTGCTTGGTACCACACAATGTGAAAAGCAAGGACTTTCTTCTTTGAATAGAAAAGACTGCAATTGCCATGTTCATGTGTCATTAGAAAATCCTCGAATATTTAAACCTAAAACAAACTAAAAGAAGGCTCTATTTATCTACACAGAATTGTCATGAAATTTTTAAAGCCAATTTTGTTAAATTATTTAAAATTTTAAGTAGAGTATTTCAAATGAAAAATATATTTCACTTAGCTCTATGTTAGATACATGTGCATTTTACTTTCATTTTACCTTGCAAAAGCACAAATTGGATGAAACCAAGCATGTCACAAACAACCTCATGTCAGAAAGGCTACCTATGTCCATATTCTATTATTCCCATACACTTTAGCAAGATCTACCCAAAGTAAAATTCAAGTTCTCAAAATATTAGACAAATCTTATTAGTAGGCATATTACTTCCTATACAAACAGTGAAGAAACTGAAGAACTATCCATGACAATAAAGAATGATAGTAAAAGATGATTCTTAACTCTCTCCACTCTACATTTAGCATTCCTGTGTCTTTGTTTCTGATGGCTAGCCTCTGTATGACCTCTATTCTGTTCCTAATAGAAAATACCACCTGCGACAAGTCAACTCAGAAAGGAGGCCAGGAATAAATTCTAAATAAAAGGTACAAAATTACAATCTATAAGATCATAAAAATTTAACTAGTGCAACAGTAAATAAATTCTACGTGTCTACATCACCACATGTATGTGGCTCACTCTCATGGATGTGCTAACATGGTTCAAAAAGAGGCCTAAAAACAAACAGGTATTATTACCCTTGTACAAAATTTTACATGAAAACAACAATAACACAAGACACCTTCTTGCCCTTTTGCTTTTTCTCTCCTTGGCTGTGTCTGAGTCCACGATATCTGCTCGGAGACAGTCCAGTGTCCCTGAAAATGAAAGGTGTTCGCCAAAGTACATGCGGTAGCACAGTGGCATCGCATCCTGGGACTGAATCCCTGTGTGACTCAGAAGAGGCTTGAAAACAACCTAAAAAACATAACACATTCATATTGGTGCAATTTATATAATTCATCATTTACTGCAGCGTTTTTTCTTATCCTACCCCAGTTCATATGTGTAGGGTGAAACACAAAAAGGTCTTCTGTAATAAATATAATCTAATTATACTTAACCTGTTAATGCCTGTGGCCCACTCTCCCACTTGCCTCTGGTCACTTGAAGAACTAAAAAGATTTCAAAGATTTTGCTTTGTACTCTCCATATTTAAGCCATTAAATAAGACTTTCATAATATTTCCTCTTTACCTTATCAAAGCCACAGCCATCTAAGCCTCATTACCACGTGTGAACTGTTTCAGTAACTCATCTTTTCACCTTGTTTCTCTAATTCAATCCATTTAGCACATTGCTACCCATGTCTAGTTCTTGTCACGTTATTTCTCTGCTCTAAAATCTTCAATGGCTCCCCACTGCTCATTCAAAAAAAGTCTTATCATAGCACTGAACACAATAGGATATGATTAAATTTATCTTTCTAGTCATGATATTTAGCCAATCTATATCTCCAAATAACGTTACCATATGAGATAAACAACTATGCCACTCTTCTGTTTAATGACTATAGATCAGTGATGGCGAACCTATGACACGTGTCACCTCTGACACGTGAACTCATTTTTTTGGTTGATTTTTCTTTGTTAAATGGCATTTAAATATATAAAATAAATATCAAAAATATAAGTCTTTGTTTTACTATGGTTGCAAATATCAAAAAATTTCTATATGTGACATGGCACCAGAGTTAAGTTAGGGTTTTCCAAAATGCTGACACGCCGAGCTCAAAAGGTTCGCCATCACTGCTATAGATGCTTAATTAGCCCATGTCCTTTTTGAAAGCTCCTCCTTTTTTGCATGAAGGCTTTTGTAGACAAGCACAGAACAAAGGTTTTCACTAAATTCCAAGGTGAATTAGAGATGCTCCAGCTGCTCAGTGTTGCCTAAGAGGATTTCAACAACTGGGAGGAACAGGCTGGCTCACCTGGGCATCAGCCAGCTGAACCGCAGGAAAACCTTGGTTGGCTTCTTCTACACCTGCCACATCATCCTGACTCATACTGTGCTGAGAAGGGGTCCCATCCAGAGTGTTCTGGTCACTAGACAAGATGGTGTTGAAATCTGAGGCTGAGGGTATTGTGGGAAGATTGGGCGCAACACCTAACAGGAAAAATGTTCAAGAATGAAATCTAAAGTACTGGAAAATAAAAGGCATAAAGGGGCACGGCGAAGTAAACTTACAAAGCCTGTATGGAACAGTATTACCAGACCATTTAAATTAAAGAGAAAAAATAGCACTTTTAGGTTATTTACAGATGTGATTAATAAAAAGTGAAATTAAACTAAATTTTTAGAAAATATCCATTGTCCTCATACATGAAGTCTTCATGACAGCCAGCCAGCCCAGAATATATAGACTTCTGCATCTGGAAGAGCCTCTGCCATCCCCTCAGCTGGGCACCCAGAAGCAGAGGTGCAGAAAGCAGCTGGGCCACAGAAAGCAGCAACAGGAGGCGGACTATTATGTCCTAAGTAGCACATACAAACTTCCTCCCAATGACCTTCCCCGAGGTGGAACGACAATAGTTGGCACTTTCTTTCCTCTTCCTCCCTTTCTTCTTTAACCTCCAGACAAAGGGCCTCTGATAGACAGGAAATGTTCCTTTCTGGCTCTCCTGAAACTTAAACTCTGTGCAACAGGGAAACCAGCCCCATCAAAGTGCTGACAACCGGGCAAACACATTCTTCCATCTTCTTCAGCTAAGGCTGACGCTGAGGACTAAGGTGCAATTAGAATTCATCACCTGCTCACCACTTCATTCCAGGTTCAAAAATGGTCCACACACCAGCAAGAAAAAGGACTAAGTAGTCATGTGTCAACCACTTTTCATAATTTCGTATTTTCTGTCTGAATAGAATTTACTAGATGTCCCAATAGCTGTTACACAGATTAATTTTAGCTGCCTTCAATGACTAGAATCAAAGGCTACCTCACATATTCTTTTTCTTAAAAAATTGTTTACTAAAAAACAAACATATGTCTAGTAAATTTGAACACACACACACACAAAATAGAAGAGGAGAGATGACTCCACTTTTACTTCAGGAGATAGCCACCAATCCTTCCCTGTGAATTCCCTACTAGTCTTCTTGCTACTTATACATATTCTTTTAAAAATTAATAAATTGCCCTGATTTGTTTCTCTCCTTGAGGGCAAGAACCTTACTTTATTCTTCTTAGTACTCCCTTAGATTTAATTAAATATTTAAGTAACCACAAAGAGCATAAGAATGCGAGTTATTATGTCCCAGAGAAATCTGGATAAACTGAAAATACTTTCTGTGTTGTAAGTATACGATGTTGTAATTATACACTGTATTTTTTATTTACCTCCTTTTGGTATTTTGAAATTAAACCAGCCACATTAAATGGAAGTTTTAAATTCTTTAAATTATAGACGCTCTCGCGTTTGACTTTCCACAGAAACATTGAGTGACTGCTTATGACTCCCTCAGCTGCTAAATTATCAAAGGCAGTTCATAAATGGGTCAATTTCAACTAAAACAATACTTAAGCATTTGAGATTTTTTAAATCATTCTCTGAAAAACAGGATTTTGCAATAACTTTACAGGTGTCCCTTAGATGGTTAAGCAAAACAATGTGACAAGTCCATACCTGTTGGAAGACTGTTGTGCCCTGACTTTGTGACAGGAGATTCCTGCACCACGCTTCCTCGATTACCCACCGCATTGGACATCCAGTTATAGAAACTCACAGATGATGGCTCAGATAGCAAGGGGTGTTCAGATAACATATCTGTAGCCACTGTATTTCCTGAAAATAAAGTTTTACTGAGTATAATATTACTTATGTACTAAGGAGGAGAAAATGTGATTTATGTAATTTTTTTGAAAAGTCACATTAAAATACCTATATATGCAGATGTTTTCAAATTCATAGTATGACATTGGTATTTGGATATTAAGGCACTACTAAATAACTTATTTATAATTCCAAGGAAAAATTCATTTTTTGTCTGGTCTAGACATCAACCCACATCACACCGTGGCTGTCAAATGCTACAATTTAAAAATGCAAACTAAGGGCAAGAAGATACTAACCTGTTACAAAGAGAAGTTTCCCAAGATACTCTCTCAGAGATAAGTTGCAATATGAAAGATTAGTTATGCATCCAAAGTATATATCTAAAAATCTTAAACCTTTTTTTTTAATTCTCCCACAGAAGTAAACTTGTAATTGTCAAAACCAAGGCCACACCTGTTCTCGTCAGGGAGTTACTTTTCACAGCTGCACTGCTCCTTTGAGGAGTGCCCTCCAGGAGGTTGTGCAAGCTTGGGAAGCTCCCGGTCAGGTAGCTGAGCAGGCTCTCCTTCCGTGGACTCTCCTTCACTGGCATCCCAACACGGCCCACATGCACTGGAGAATCCGTGGCGGTGTCTCCACTGGTGTAGCTCAGGGAGTGGTATGGGTGGATGCCCTGCAGAGAAACCGCACAGGCTCTTCCTTACACACACAAATGTGACGGCTGAGAACTACAACTGCTGTTACCCTTGCCATTACTGCTTACTACGGTTCACTCAGTACCAAACAAAACAACATCACTGAAAACATAAAACAGCCTCACTCAAACTGTATATTGATCATGCACAATTATAAGATGATCAATATTCTCAATATTGTATTTTATTGAATATTCAATAAATTTAAAAGAGAGCCCTAAGGCCTGGTAGTTAAAGTAGTCCTTATTCAATATTAATTACTACTGATGACATAATTTTCAAAGAAATGTGCACACTAAAAGTTACTAATCATGTTAATTTCAATATAAAAATACTACTTTTACTAAATTTAAATCCTTAGGGTGGATACCTAATAGTTGAATTTGAGATGGCAAAAGTTAGGTATTCTCTGCAAGTCTAACTAACACTAACTAAAAACAGTAATAATGAACCTTTATCTTTAATGCAGAGTCACTGTGGGTGTGAGTCTTGGAGAGTTTCCTCATTATCTCAGCGCCAGTCACAGGCCCAGAGCCGCTGGGGGGAGGTCGGCTGGCTGTTCCTTCCAGCAGCATCGTGTGCTCGCTGACTGTGGCTGAAATCAGTGAAAAGAGTGAGTGAAAAGGGCTGCAGATGTCAGACATGCTCCTTAAGCATCAACTCCAGTGTTCCTGGTGGTGGCTCTACTCTCAGCCGTAGATATTCCTTGACAAGTTCATTTTGGAATCTTCTGTAATATTCACTCCTTTTTAAATTTTTATGCTACTCTTCCAACCCCAATCTTCTCACTAAGTCTCAAAAAAGGAATAAACAGCTTCTATTCAATATCAAATATGCCACCCAAATGGTAAGAGACCAAAAACCAATTCAACTCAGCTCAAGAGAGCACAGAATTTTCACAGATTAACACAGGCATTTGTAGATAATTAATTAAAAGGGATAGTTACTACACTATTCTTTCAACTTTTGTACAGACTTGAAATTTATCAAAATAAATAATAAAATCCAGCCTATTACTCATAAAACATTCATTTCTTAAATATAATTTAAAAATGTTTGAAAACCAAAAAGAAAAACTGGGTAAAGGATTATATATCAATTAGAGGCTCAGTGCACAAAATTCGTACACAGTAGGGTCCCTAGGCCTGGCTTGCGATCAGGGCCATTGGGGCCTTCCAGCTGCTGGCCAGGGCCTTCCTTCCCTGACTGCTGGCTGCCAGCTGGGCCTTCCTTTGTTCCACGCCACCCCCTGGTGGTCAGCGCACATCATAGCGAGCAATCGAACTCCTGGTCTCCCGGTCAATCTCCCAAGGGGATAATTTGCATATTAGCCTTTTATATATATAGATGTTCTGAAAGCTCTAATTTTAAGACTGCTTTCTTTGCCCATGGTACTTCTAATATTTTTTCAAATTATCATAAGATAAATTGCAGTGCATAGTACATTTCATAATAATAATAATAATTAAACTTTGAAAAAGCATTAAAGTATGTATAGGGTGGGGCAAAAGTCAGTTTACAGTTGTATGTGAAACATGGAGTTTATGCCTGCATTATTAATTTCCCATACAAAGAGCTATGACACCCCCCCCCCGTGTGCCCCACCTATACACTGTGAAACACAGGGGTACTGCCTGTGTTCTGGCACAGCCATCAGGCTCTCAGAATCTGAGGCTGAGCACAGGCCTCCAAATATTACATAAACTCAGATCTGAAGAAGCACTGAGTAAAATTCAAAGGCTCCTTTAAAGGCACAGGACAAGTAGAGAGGCATGACATCTCTGGTGGGAAAGTTTACTATTATAAAATGCATGGTGCCAGATCACTTTGAGAAGACCTTCTTTCTCACTGCAATGTACACATTTACTGTAATTACCATGGTATTATGTGTTGCTGAGGTTTTTGAGATCATATTTAGAAGACTATGCTTTTTAATTAAGCAGTGACCCAGAGGTTGATTAATTGCTATCAGACCACAGTTATTTATCAATCATTGTAATTTATTTTTACCTTATTCAGTGAGTACCTCAATACCAAACATAAATATTTATTCTTTAAATATAAAAAAATAATAAAGTAAAGGCACAGGGCAAGATGATAAAGAGATAGATATAATTTTTAAATAGAGGTTAATGTGATTAACTCAAAATATTCTAGTTATACAAAGATATCTGTTGTTTAGACTGGATAGGTTAGGAGAAGAAGTCTACTATATTTCACAAAATTAAACTTGAGAATCAAATCTGTATGAGATTCCAACATTATTAGCATTTATTTGGACTAATACAAACCATACTTATATAATATAATTAAACCATGACAATTGAAATATCAAATTTGGGACACAAATCATTAAAATTATCACATGTACTAGGTTACCAAGTGCATAATAACTAGCTAAAATATTTACAAAATTACCTGCATCAAATTCAAATTCTGCTCCATCAGCACTGGTATCACTTTGAAGACCACCTCCATTGTCCAGCCCAAAGCCATCTTCGTGTTCATGGTCCACAGCTGCTTGGGGCTTCACGGGCTGAGCTGGCCGATGTAAGTTGACTCCTTTAAAGGTTGGTGTCACCACAATGAACTTCATCCACTGCCTTGCCAGGGCAACTAACCCTTTCTTTAAGGTTACCAAGGCAGGAAGTCCATCACCCTGTAACAACAATGATGTGGTTAGAAGTCACCTTACTATATAATAACAGTTACCATTTAAGTGCTTTGCATATATTTATTCATTTAACTCTCATAACCCCCACAGGGAAATGAGGAAACCAGAATTTATATGTTAAGTAATTTGTCCAAGGTTACACAAGAAAGTCAGTGTTTCGAGCTGACAACAGAACTCAATCTCTAAACACAAGGTTGCTTCTCCTGTCATTAACAGCACAGCAGCTCCAGGGAAATAAAACTAAATGCAGGTACAAGACTGGGGTTCTTCTGAAGAAGCATTCAATCCACTTTATCTTTTGCCAATTGAAGAATCAAATGTATTTTGAACAACCTGGAATATTCATTAAGCAAAAAGGGAATGAAATTATTCCCTCCAGAGATTATTTTTAGCATTAAAAATAATAAATTTCTATAGGTAAATGCTGGATATAGCTGGATTTGTAACTGCTTTGAAAGTTAAATGTATTATTAACAATGATAAAATTTAGAATATATTTGATTTCACATGGTTATGATTGTAAGAAAGAAAACTCGGCTCTTTTTCCTATTAGAGCCTTAGCCTGAGGAGAAAATATCCAACTCCTGTCCATCCCCTTTCCTACGATTCCCTGTGTTAGAAGAACCTCATTTACTTTCTGCACCTGCCCTTTCATTCCCAGGCTCAAGTGGTCCTTCCTCTTAATGGAAAGCATACCTGGGCAGAGCACCCATGGAAATGAAGTCATTCTCTCTGTTCCCGTCTCTGTCTACGGCATCATGGGTAAGTTAGCCTCACATTGGGGACTCCCAGTCCTCAACTCTCAGGTGGCAGTAGAAACTAGAAACTCTACCAGCCTCAGGCCAAGTACCTTTTTTATATCCATGACTTACGGGAGATTCTGGCATTGGAGGTAAATAGGAGCTTGACTGGCCATTACCAATATGGATACATTGACCACTAATTTGGCTTCAGATTCTCATGTATTCTCTATTGACGAGAGCTTGGCGAGGAGAAGGAAGCTCCTCCAGTTCTACACCCCTAGGTATGTGTCACCTTCTGAAGTGCTTTTCAAGGGGCAGAGATAGTATATTTATTTTGTACAATTACATAATATCCCCCCATCACAAATGAGTCCTTATTTTATTAAACATTGCTATGATATTTGACTCTAGTGATTACTCTCTTACTTGCAACTCACTATACTTTGGCTTCCAGACATTCTTTCCTGGCTCTCCTTTCCCTCCTCAGCACTCTGTGTACCTCCATCCACCTTCCCCACCTATTTAATATTGGTATTCTTCTGGGATCCATCCTTGACCAGGTTCTTACTCAACCCTCCATCCCTAGAAGTCTCATCCACATCAACAGCTTTTAACACCTTCATGTTGTCAACTCCCAAATCATTAATCTGAGCCTGCTCTTGTCTATGAGCCTGTATTTCTAACCATATTTCTCCTCTGGACTTCCCATATGCATCTCAAATCCTGCAGGTCAATGGTTCCTCAACAGAACAGAGGCTACTTCAGAGCTAACACATGGTTTCAGTCACTCACCATTGTAGCATCCTCGATGGTGGTGTAATTTGCCTGGTGCAGGTAGTGGTGGAGTATATTACACAGTAAACAAGAAGGGTTTTCTTGGAGAAAGCGAGCCAGTTTTGTAAGTCTGTTGTATTTACTTCTTAGGGGAAAATGCATACTTTTATTCTGAAACAAAGCAAAGATAACAGGCTTACAATGATATATTAAAGATAGTACAAAGGAAAGGCATCCAGTCACTAAGTACTCACAAGTTAGATGTTTCCCAACAATGATAAATGGTCAGGATCGTCTTCAATAAATTCTGTATCTCCATGTATTGTTGAAGACTTACCTCTAGCGCTTCAGTCATGATGCATCCCATCACAGCACAGAGTCTCAGCGTTCCCTCTGTTTCCAATTTGTTCAAGGACGACTTGAGCTGGTCAACAGGAACGAGCCACGCACCCACCGCGGGGGTCGCAGTGCTTAAGAGGTTTAGCTGCCTTCAGATTTATTTTAGAAAATTATAAAAACGAGCGTCAAGATTTTATTTCAAATGATCTTCCATCTCTACTGTTCTTAGCAGCTATTTTATTAAGGCAAATTACTTTTCCTCTTGACCACCAGATAAATTATGAAGATATAACTTCATAATTCATGATATTCAGAGAACAGATAATAGAAAAGAAAAAATATTAAAAAGCTTATTAGAGGTGAACAAAATAAGTTAATGGCAGGGTGACATGTGAAAGTAAAACTAAGCCCTAGAAAAGAAAAATGGTCAAACAAGCTGACAATAAGGTCAACAGAGAGTCTGAGGTAGGAAAGATGGGGAAGAGGTGGCAGCCCTCATATTAGATATATCCAAAAAGTAATTCAAAACATGCATGAAACAGAACTGCATGCCATTTAAATAAAGAAACACCAAGCGACAGTAGTACACTTTTCAGACTTTTTACCTAGAAAATGCATGAGTGGGAGACCTCACGTTGGTGGGAGCTGCGAAACTAAACCAAATCTCCTGGATGGTCAGCTTCATGCTGCAGGAATCGGGAGGTGGCGGCATAAGAGGCACATCTTTCTTCAAATCATCAGATTCAACTCCTTCATCCTAAATAATAGAACATCCAAAACTTTTTGTTTAGGGGCATTAAGTTATTTTTTCTAGATGAGGAAAGTGAGAGAAAGAGGTAACTTTCCAGAAGCCACACAACTCTTGAGCAGAGTGGGTGGTAGAATTAAGGTCTTCTGCTTCCTATTGCAATCAATTTCCTTTTCCATTTAACAGAATATTTCAAACTTCCAAATAAAGAGCCATAATAAATACTATTGTAACACATTTTCAAATAACACTCTACAAAAAATTCTTATGTTATCTTACATGCTATTATCTAAAGCTATATTGAGAAATGGCAATATCTTTTAGAGGTGTAATCACCAACCTCCAAAATGTAGGCAGGTAAGAAGCATGATATTAAAAAAAAAGTCTCCTGCCTTTTACATCTACTTAAAGTCTCTGGATTCAGTTTTAGATATCATTGGTCAAGATAAAGAAAAGACTGGCATTTTCTTGTATGGTGATTAAGGAATGAATACACACAAAACACCTGTGAGTCCTAAGTGTTACAGAACAATGTGAACTATAGGCCTCAGTGATTTTAAAGTCAGCAGGCACTACATATAAGTCCACACTCCCTTATTTGCAATTCTAAAATCCATGACATTCTGAAATAAGCCAGTCAGAGAAAGATAAGTACCACATGATCTCACTTATATGTGGAATCTAATGAACCAAATAAACTGAGGCTCAAAAATAGACCCAGAGACATAGAAGCTTGAACAGACTGTTGAACCTCAGAGGGAAGCCAGGGGAAGGTGGGTGGGAAGAGATCAACCAATGAACTTGTATGCATATATGCATAACCCGTGGACACAGACAATGGGGTGGTGAGGGTCTGGGGGAGGAAGGTATGGAAGAGGGTTGGAAGAGGTTAATGGGGGGAAAAGGAGGACCTATGTAATATTTTCAACAATAAAGATTAAAAAAAATAAAATCTAATATTTTTCTGTAAATGTGGCATCAAAACCTGATCTGAACTGATGAGAAGCTATTTACCCCACACCTGGTATTTTTATTAAAATTGCTGGCTGCAGAAATATTTAAGTATTTCAAGATAAAGCTGCCTCAGATTCCATTAGGAGTCTATGTAACATATAGTACACATACATTACCAAGTTCTCACTGTGTGATAGACACTGAGTTAAGCCTTTCCTGTGTACTGTCTCCTCCAATCTTCACAACTTTAGAAGAGCAATGTCCTTACAATACTCCTTTATAGATGAAGAAACTCGGGAAAGGGAAAATAATTTGCCCCAGGTCACCAATCAGTGACACAACTCTTTAGTAATCTAGAATTTTAAATATTTTCATTATTGCTGTTCCTATACTCATCACTATGAAATTCTACCCTAATAAAAATAATAAATGAGTGACACTGAAGGTATTCTTCAGGACCCTAAATGAAACTGGCAGATATTGACAAAAATATTAAGAACTTACATGAAATATTACCAGTAACAAAACTAATTATTTAAAAAGTGATTCTGGCTCTGTCTTCTCTGCACTGGGAGCAGCTCCCCTCATCCCCTGAAAATGTATGCCTGCACCAAGTTTGTCTCCGCCCCCTCCTTGGTCCGGAGCACCTCTCAGCTGAGCCGGTCAATGTCTGCAGTGGTGCTGAAACGACCAGAGACACTGACAGATGAGAGCCTCAGCAGCTTGGCAGCCCCACGTCCCCTGACCTCGCTTATTTCTAGCCGTAGCTTCCAAACCAGTGCCATTTCAAGGGACATCGACACAGCAGCCAAGTTCATTGGGGCTGGGGCTGCCACAGTAGGGGTGGCAGGCTCTGGGGCTGGAATTGGGACTGTGTTTGGGAGCCTCATCATTGGTTATGCCAGGAACCCTTCTCTGAAGCAACAGCTCTTCTCCTACGCCATTCTGGGCTTTGCCCTCTCAGAGGCCATGGGGCTCTTTTGCCTGATGGTGGCCTTTCTCATCCTCTTCGCCATGTGAAGGAGCTGTCTCCACCTCCCATAGTTCTTTTTCCCGTGTCTTGTCTGCCCTGTATGTTCCTTTTCCTATACCTCCCTAGGCAGCCTGGGGAAAGTGGTTGGCTCAGGGTTTGACAGAAGGAAGACAAATAAATACTGTATTAATTAGGAAAAAAAAAAAAAAAAAAAAAAAAAAAAAAAAAAAAAAATAAAAAGTGATTCTGCTAAAATCATTCAAACAACATAAAAACAAAGCCTGCTTTTTTGAAATTCTATTAATTCATTAATTCAGCAGATATTTTAAGTGCCTAATATGAACACAGTATTATGCTAGGTACTATGATAGATATAAACATATTTAGGCATTGGTGCCTACAAAAATTATACTCTAGTACAGTGGTTCTCAACCTTCCTAATGCCACAACCCTTTAATACAGTTCCTCATGTTGTGGTGACCCCCAATTTCATTGTTACAAATTGAATTAAAGCATAGTGATTAATCACAAAAACAATATGTAATTATATATGTGTTTTCCGATGGTTTTAGGCTACCCCTGTGAAAGGGTCGTTCGACCCCCAAAGGGGTTGCGACCCACAGGTTGAGAACCGCTGCTCTAGTAGAAGTGTAATCATCAAAATGCCTTGACTTAAGCAAAATCCAAACTACAAAAAGACAAGCAAATATACTTCAGAAGTTAATTTTGAGTTGGTACATCATTTTCTATGTTATGTTTCCAAAGCATTATTATTAGAAACCTGTTCATGTTTCCAAAGCATTATTACCAACCTGCTCATCGGAAACAGAATTTCCATTTAAGTCTGAAGAAGGGCTTGTTCGATCACAAGGAAGATTATCATCAGAGACGTCGGTGTTATAGCCGCTGCCGGTCGGAGAATCAGAAGAATTATTGGATGTCAGCACTCCACCCCCTTCTGTGACACTAGCTTTGCCCATCGTTCCAAAAGTATTATACAAAACAGCACCGGACTGTCTTCCTCCTATATAAATACGAGAATGTATTTATTAAAACACTCGGTATCTCAGTGATGTACTCTACTGTATCCATAAAGATAAAAATTAAAATCTCACAAAGATCCCTTTTATTCTCACCAAAACTTGCCCTTATCTATAAATACACAACTACTATTATTATTATATAGGACTAAATCTAAAAGTCTTATACACAAGTCAGCCTTCATATTTTAATATATTACTCAATAATGTATAAGAAAACACACATAATTGTAAGTCAGACTCTGTCTCACTGAATAAAGGATTTGAAATATTTTCATCCTAAATGGTAAAGCTCTGCTAATCAAAGATCCAGTTTCCAAAGACACAAGCTTTCAAAAGCTGGGTGGCTTTGACTTGAGCCAAGACTGCTCTGCTCAGACACTGAGGTTTTTACATGTCTAGATGCTCTGCTAGTTTTGGATCACACAATGGAGGAATCGGGATGGGGCATCCACCCCTGGTAAATAATCCCAGCTACCACACTTTCAGCTTGAATTTGCTGATTCAGACTATTGAAAGTCATGAGTGTAAAGCATTTCAGCAACGTGGGGCCAATTTGTACCCACTTACGCAGAATTATTTTTTAAAAACCTACCTTTTATGGTTAAATTTTCAAGTCCACATTCAAACATTATCCAACCCCATTTTTCTTGGCTGGGACCCATTCGAGTTATATCCGGAATAGCTTGCTGGTCAGTCTCATCCACAAAAGTAAACTCATCCAGCTCTTCCAGAGTAAATAAGACTTTGGACTTCTCGAAGGGAATCGCAGTGATGGCACAGGTGCCGATATCTATCACCAAAAGAGAACAAAACCACCACTTTTAAAGATAGAGGTTTTATATATTTTTAAAACAAACAATGTAAACATTTGGCACAGTGGTTACGTTCAAAAGATATCTTAGTCAAAAAGAAAAATAAACAAATGAACCAACTCAAAAATAATGCTGCCTAACTTTGTACTGCTTACAAATTGCCAGAATCACATTGAAGTAAGGGGGGGAAAGATGAATCCAGAATTAACAAATAATTGCCCAAAGGCAGAATGGATTCATTTCTGAAAGATTATATGGTACTCTAAAAATCTAAAGCTAAAAAGCTTCTGCATAATTCAGCTTCATAATACACTATTTTTAAATACTTTCTCATCATTTTATAAAATAAAAAATTATTTTAATTATCCAGCTTTAGAAAAAACATTTTCTAATACAATAACAGCATTTACTAAAAAATGGCTTTATGCTAACATATCCTATATAACTACAATTCATCACAGTCATTGCAATATTTTACTGCTTACCAAATGCAATGTAGAAATGAACATCCCAAGTTCCTGGCATTTTTTTCTTACTTCTTACCTTACTTTTTAAAATTTCTCTGATTATAGTTAATGAATACAGAAAAATATAACAAAAAAGATTTTAAAAAAACACTGGTAAATTTATCATCCATAGATAACTGGCTTATTACATTCGGAGTAAGTTTCCTTCTAGCTATTTAGAGATCATTTTACAAACCCAGCTTTGTTCCCAATTTTTATGCAACAGTAACCATGATAATTTCAACTCATTAAAAATTATTATTGTTAAAATTATTTTAATAGCTATAAAATATTCCACCAAGAAAATACTATACATTTATATTTTATCTGTCTAATTCCATGAACTTATTCTGAAATATTGTATTAGGTGAGGACTTAACTTGAATTTATACATTTTTTTGATTAGGTAATACACTCACTTAAAGAGTACAAAGGGTTCACAGTAAAACCCCAAGACATACACTTCCCCTCCCTACAGGTAACATATGTCATTAGATTTATTGAGTATCTTTTCAAAGATATCTTATGTACCTATAAGCAAAGACATTTATTTTTTTTCCTACAACTTTACACAATGATCTCCTTAAAATTTCTTTAGGAGTTTTGTCTTTGGTAAGTTCTATCTGGGTAGTGTCCCTTTCAAAATTATATTTAGTTACTGCCTGCAGTCTATACAACACCAAAGTACAAACTGGCTAACAGTGCAAACTACAGAACTGAGGATAAATCTTTTTCTATACAAGCTGCTGTATTCTGCACCAGTGTTAGGACTACAGAACTCAGGGAGTCAGGAACAACCTCTTTCTCTGGAAAGCCTTGAGAAAGCCTCAGCAGTTACACAGACCCAGAACACAGACAGCCGTTATGGAACCTTCAGAGCCTACATAATACAGTGAGCAAATTCAAGGAAATGACTTGCTCATTCGGGACTCGTCACCTATCCCAGATGGAGATTAGCATAGCAACCATATCAATTAAGACTAATAAACTCATTTCTTTCTGGATTGAATCTCTGACAATCTGAGATCACTTAGCCTCTAAATGAGCACAGGCACAGAGTTATGTCAAAAATATTGAAATGGTATGTGACGTGTCTAGTGTTCTCTCTTACCTCACCAGGAACTCTAAGAAGCATAGCCATGGCTATCACTCTTGTTGCTGCTGTATTTTACAGACTTGGTTATCTACTTTTGATATTGTAATTAATAATTTTCAATAAAGTTGTGCCAACAGAACAATTTAAAAAAGTAAGAAAGACTATAAAGACCAGACTCTCTAATGAGCAGCAGACATAATGAAGAAATCAGATGGGTTCCTAATTTGGGGCCATATCACTTTCTTCCCTACCAAAGTTTACCTTCTGTTCTACGTAGAATGTGAATAAGGAATAGTTAAATACTATGTGTTTAATATAGTGCAGAAAATACCTTTCTTTTAAACTACTAAAAGTGTAGCAATATTCAAAGGAAAAGAATGTTTTCTTTTGCAAAATCCTCTTATATTTATACATGCCACAGAAAAAATATTTGTTGTAAAATCCTACCTTTTGTATCAAGACCCCTGAGTTGCCCATGAACTCGATGAATGTTTAACTTGGCAGCAATTTCTTTGCCTTTTTCTGCTCCGGTGTTTGATCTGAGAGATCCAGACGACTGTGGCTGCATTTTAGAGGTGTGGACATACCTATCAAACTGTGATGTCCGACCAGGTTCAGTGTTGTTTGAAATCTCTTCAACCACACCTCTTCACAGAAAAGAGAGAGAGTATGATTAACATTTAAACATTTAAACAGTTCAGGAACAACATTTAATTAATAAGTGGCTTAAAAAAAAACATTCCAGCCTGGCCAGTATGGCTCAATGATTGAACATCAACTTATGAACTAGGAGGTCATGGTTCGGTTCCCGGTCAGGGCACATGCCCAGGTTGCGGGTTTGATCCCCAGTAGGGGGTGTGGAGGAGGCAGCCTACCAAAGATTCTCATCATTGATATTTCTAGCCCTCTCTCCCTCTCCCTTTCTCTCTCTGAAATCAATAAAAAACATTTTTTAAAAACCGAAACATTCCACTGCTTTAATTAAACCAATATTCATAACAAATTCTTCAGTGTTTACTAAAATATAGTATGAATAAAAACAGTACAAACTTTCAAATACCTACAAAACAAGATTTGAAATTCCAATACCAGTTTTATGTATTAAGAAGATTATTAAGGCCTGCTTTTCCATCCAGCAAGATAATCATGGCTCAAATTAATGAAATCTTTTTTACCTGTTCATACGAACTTGTGTAGCAATTCTGTCAAAACACAATGCAACCAGAGACATGTGAGTCATGCTTCTACTGGAAGCTGTACTTGGAGATTCTTCCACTGAGGCTTGTAACAAACATAAGTTTACCTAACACAGAAAATGGCATAAATGTCACTGAAAAGTAAAAATTATCAAATATAAGATACACAGAAAAATGGCAAAGCTACTATTAGGAATAGTGTATCTAAGTGTCTGAGAGTTATGAAGACAAAGCTTACAAATATAGAATCTCATAAAATAATCGTAATTAAATTCTTACTGGATGAATCTAGTATAACTTGCCCAATATTCTACTTAAGTAAACTTATTTACATTACGTTAATTTTTACATTCAGTCATCGAGGGAATAAAATATATGTCCTCTTCTTTCAGAAAATTTTTTTAAAAATATTAAATTGTTACCTTTGGTATGCTGACATTAGCTTGAAGACCTTTAATTGTCACATTATCTTGTTTCATGATAAGATCTGTCTGTGCTTGTCCTTGGTTAGTCATTCCTATGGTAGTGTGCTCAGTTTTTGTTCCTCTAACATCTTGTTTGGAAGATAACTAAAAAGAGTGCAAGTAGAATTATTATTTCACAAACATTTCATAATTTCCACATCATCTGCAACAGCGACCTGCTCATTCACTCTCTCTTTATGCCCATGGGTATGCCAGCCACCATTGGGTTAGCACCCCTAGTCTTAAAGTTCAAACAGGTTGGCAGCTTCAGTATATATTTTTAATAAGTGGATCACTAAAAACAATCAGCCTCACTTGCACTTTGCCTCTGGGCCCTGGTCCAAATATGACCCAGATAAATTTGAAAGTCAAGTGGAGAGTCACCAAAAGAGCACCAGGAAGTGACTACTAAGAAATGGCTTCGCGCTTGGACCATGGCATAAATGGAATACGACACACCAGAGGGCAGTGACTTGGCTCATTGAGGTAAACAAAAATAATCTCAAAAATATTAGGAGACAAGTTATCTAATCATAGAGGAAAGTCAAAATAATATGCAGCTTGCTTTCTTAGAAAACAAATGCACCAGTCCTAGAGAGCGCTTGTTCACTTGGGACCAACACTCTTTAGGAAAGGCCTGAAATTAAGCTACTTTCTGAAATAAAAAAAAAAATAAAGCCACATTTTAATAAATAGTTGACTACTATTTAATCTATAGCATAGTTCTATATGGAGCCACTGACATATAAAGACTGTTTAGAAATGTCCATGTGTTCCAATTTAAATAACTAATAAAAATTTAATACATTCCATTTTTTCAAGTTTGAATATTATATGCACATGAAGAATATTCAGTTTGCCATACTTTACTGGATAAAAAATTCTTACATTTTCTGAGAAGGTAGTCCTGCTATTTTGCATAGCTTCCCTGAGGACCTTGGCATGAAGGTCATCCACAATTGCAGCTGGATGGCGGATGTGAGCATAATGAACCATCGCTTCGATATACCTGCAGGAGGAGAAACAGAAAATGAGAAACTTTAGTTTATTGAATCTGTTCCATTACATTACATTCTAGAGTTTATTCATGTTCGTTTTGTCTCCCTAAATAAACTAGATAATAGTAATATCAAACATAATAATTAGGTACTGGATATGTGATCATTTTATGCTCATCAGCCCAAAAGCAAAAAAAATGAAAACTATAATGCAATATAATTCTTATAATATTGCAATATAATTATTTGGACTGAAAAGTAACAAATGATAACTAAGTGAAACAGACATTTTAAACATATCTTCATTTTTGTTCAATCAAATAGCCATCATCAACATTTTTCTTTATGAACATACTAGAGGCCTGGTACACTAAATTCGTGCTTGGGAGGGGGTTCCCTCATCCCAGCCTGCGCCCTCTCGCAATCCGGGACCTCTCAGGGGATGTCGGGCCTAAATCAGCAGTCGGATATCCTTCTCACAATCCAGGACGCTGCATGCACCAATGACCATACTTTTCATACAGGTCAAAGGCATCTTGCTATTGTATGGGCAGCTACATTTTTTTGCCCTGATTAATAAAAGTAGTACATAACATGATTCTTCTGAGGCAGTAGTACCATTTCCCCCATCTTATGGGTGGAAAAACTAAAGCAGAGAGAATTGGCTTTGTCACACAGTTATAACTGTCAGAATCAGGGCTGACCACAAAATGTGCAAGCCAGAGTCCATGCATGTCATCGCTGCATCATCCTGTTTTTTTCAGTGTTAGAGTAGCCTTAATTTTTAAATCTAAGAGACTGTTCCCAATATATAGGATAGGGTCCCTAGGCCTGGCTGGCAATCAGGGCCATCTGTGGGGCAACCAGTAGGCAGGGCCGTTGGGGGGCCCCCACTGGCACCCACCTTGGCTGGCGACCTGGCACTGCCTGCTCGCCGGCCCCGTCCCCCCACCCCCCATCCCCGATTGCCACAGCTGGTCGTCTCCCTGGGGGGGGGGGGGGGGGGGGCGGGGGGGGAAAGGCCAAGGGGGGGAAGTGCACTTCATAGCGAGCAGTCGGTCATTCTGCTGATTGTTCCACCATTTGGTTGATTTGCATATTAGGATTTTATCATATAGGATATCACATACACTAATCATAATATAACATACATTTGTCATTTTATCAAATAATAGTTATAGTTTTAGACAAAATCAATACCTGTCTAAAGCTTCAGCCACCAGGGGAGTCAGAACAATGTCAATAGTTCCTTTGACCTCAACTATGGCTGTTGTCCTGGTCTGAGAGATGGGCTGATCCAGGGTCCACTCTTCCTTTACTGTTTCATCATCTGTGCTGTCAACGGCTCTCTTTTCCAAAGGAGTATATGGTGTTCTGTACAATGTAACCAGCAAAGTACGTATTACAAAGACTATGAAAAATAGCAAGAGTTGGAGCTTAAGATGAGTGACTGCTTAAACCTACATTTATTTCAACTGAAAATTTCATGGGACTAGACTAGACATTTCATCTCCCAAATACTTTTCAAAGACAGAACATTGAGGTACTAAAGTAAAAACTGATCAAAGATGGTTAATATATCAAGTGTGTGTGTGTGGGGGGGGGGGGACTGTATTATATTTACTTGATGGAGCTTTTCCAAACATGAAAACTTCAGTTCTGAATTCTTACTAGTTTCCAGTCTTGTTATGCCAGTGATGGCTTACATAGTATGCTAAAAGAAATGCCACTGATTGCTTATAATGTAGGCAAAGCCATCACAGACAAACAGCTGAATTATTTGTGGTAATTTATTCATAAAATAAAGTCTATAGTCAATTAAAGAATGGTTATTCTTTAGAATAAACTTTATGTGTCTTATAATCAAGAAAAACACTGTAGTCTTTAAAAGTATATAATTTTTACTTACTTTGAAGTTGATCCCGAAAGTTGCATTCCTCTGTCTAGTAAAGAATTAGCTGTGAGCCCCTGTTTGATAACCTAGAATATAAAATTTTGCTTATAGAGTAGAATTTTAATATTAATTATCCTCTAATTTTATGCTATAGACCAATTATTTGTGAATATCCAGATTACCTTGTTAATATGATTTTCACAGATATGCTATAAATATTTCACAGACAAATTGAAAAAATCATAGAAAATATTTATTTGGCAATTTCATTTTCAGTTTATTCAGACAAATGGCAGGGCTGTAGAACTCAGCAATGAGAGTAAAAGACTATCCAACAAGACTTAAATGGGAGTGCTTCCAAGTCTGTCTTCTGGAGCACCATTTACACTAAGCTTAACTTTAAGCTAATTTTAGAGTCTTCCTGGGAAAATCAACTTTCAAATGGGAAAGAATCCCATAGAAACATTATATTATAGAAAAAGCTGGATTGTAATATCAATGAAAGGTAAATAATATAAACAATACACTTGAACAACCAAACTGAACCCTTTTAAATGTTAGCCATTTACTTAGATTTAATGGAGAAAAATAACTTTCTTACTTTCCTATGTTCTATTTTAAAGTGATCTAAAGATATGAATTACTTGGCTTATTTTCTCCAGACTGCCTAGTCAAATCTAAAAGATTTATTGAAAATACTAAAATAATTCTAATCTCTCAGGTACTATTCTGCACAGCAAGTACCATTCAGTTTTATACTGGAAAATTCATAAACCAACATATTTTCACATGGAATAAAGAGAACATTTTGAAATCTTAGCATGAGCAATTTATCTTGGCAAGAAGAGAAACGGGCACAACCTTAAAACCAAAACTTTGTAACTGTTACTAATGTTTCTATTTCCTTCAATATATATTGCACACACATACATATATCTCAATATCTGTAAGGATATTCAACTCCATTATCACATTTCCAACATTACTTAAGCCCAAACCTGTCATCTCTTGCACAGACTGCTGCCACAGTCTCCTAAGTAAATGGTCACCCCATTTCCTCTCTTGCTTAATGACAATTCAGTTCCACTTAGTAGCAGTTCCACAAACTACACATCACATCACATTTCCTTAGAGCTCTTGCAAGTTTCTCAATGAAACTAAAATAAAATTCTAACTACTGATACCTGCTCTGTCACCTGTACTCAGGTGTACAGCTCATCAGGAGCAGATTCCTGCTACCTCTCCAGGTCTCAAGCAAACTAACTTCTTTCCTTCCTTAGCAATTCAGCGAGGCTGATCCCTGTTCCCTGAATGTAATTGCCCTAGGTTTTCTAATCCTCCACTATTCCTTATCCTTTAAGTTTCAGTTTAAATATTACCTCAGTTTAAGTGTTGTCTTGTCAATACAATCTATTATTTTCCATCCCAGTATTCTTTGATTATCTTCATAAGACTCTTCTCAATTTGTAATCATATACTTATCCATTTATCTATTAACTGTGTCTCTGTCCCCTAAACTATAAGCTCCATAGTTTCCTTCATTATGTGTTGGGCACATGGTGGTAAATAATATATGAATTAAGAATGAATACATTAAAACACTTTAAATAAATGCATATGTATATGTAACCAGTTCCATAAGATTCCATATGCTTAATTTTGGTCTAAACCCATAAAAAATTCTCTTATAAATGTATTAACTTTATAAAATAGTTTTCATATTGACTATTGTTACTACATTTACTTTAACTTATTTTTAACTCTTCTTTAAAAAGCCATTTACAGAATACACTACAGAAGTGGCCAATAGCCAGTCATACTAAATTATAAGACATCAAATTTCAAGTGAATGGAACTGAATTTGCAAGAGAAGCAGTTATGGATTAGAACACCAACTATCAAAAAACAATTTCAAAATTTATTTTTAAGAGACAGAAAATACGGATTCACAGACTTGATCCTAATCTTAAGAGTACAGTGTATATAGAAACTATTACATTTATTGACTAACATTGTGACTATCAAATCTAACTATTCCTCAATTTTATATACTTCACTTTATAATTCCCACCACTAACCCTGAGACCTACTATTATACATGAAGCCTTGATTTCAGAAAGGTAGCTAAAATGACTGAGTAATTGTGAAAACAACTTCAAAATCCATTTTTCTAAATAAATATATCAGTGTAAAAACTAATGATTTGATTTATACCTTAAAAGTTGGAACAGAGAACTGTTCACATGATGATGAACTTTCTTCACTGGTTGGTGTATCCAGATCAAGGGGTCGATGGAGGGAGGACTTGGAGGTCCTTTTGTGTGTTGGGTGCTTCACTGACCAGTTAACCACCTGGAACTGAGTAAGGTAAGTCTGATAGCAACTCATCACTGGTTGCTGAGAAGTGATCTGCTCGCTCTCTACTGTTTTCTCACCCTCTACAATATACAGATGTTCTATAACATCATCTTCGCCACCTAGTGCAGAAACGAATGAAGCCTGGGAAGGGTGAGTTTTGAATGGCAGAGTTCGGGGATCCTGAATGCTTTCTCCGTGGCCAGTGAGTGGTCCCTCGATACTGTGGTATATGGAACCCCTACTGTAGTCAATCTGCTGGGTCTGCTTTTTCTTCTTTTTTCTACCTGGATAGGTCCCAGGGCCTTCGTCACTGCTAATAGGCTCAAATTCTTCAGCGGCAGAAAAGTAGGCTTCACTGTCAGCCATTGACATGCTGGAATCCATTGATCGATATTGATGGAATGAATTAGAGTCTGCTGATGGTGTGTATGGAAAGGAACCGAAACTTCTTCTCTGCTTTGGTGAGTCCAGTACATTCTCATCACTTCGGGAGACATCACTACTAAACTGGACTCCAACTGTGACTGGCTGCTTGTCCCCATAGAAAGCTGCAGTCAGGCTCTTGGTACTTCCAAGTCGGGTGGAACATACAGAGGCTTGTCGTTTCAAGGGAGACCGCAGAGGGGATTGACCTACTGACTTATCCTGAGTATTAGGAGACACGGGGCTATTTCCTGAAATTTCTGTAGGAACACTAAAATAGAAAACAAAGCTATTACCTTTACTGTATTATCATATCATTTACTCTAAATATAAAGAAAAGTAATTATAAAATCCTTTTAGTCATTTTAATCATTTATTTTACAAACAAATGAAGAAAATCTAAAATTTTACAATAAAATAGCCATACAAAGTAACAAAACAATGTGTTCATATCCCAAATAGTTCCCAAAAATGAGGAAGCTTAAAACAAAAACAACAATAAAACTTAAAGAAACCCATGAATATTATCTATCCATAATCCATGAAAATTAATCTATTCATTAGGTGGTGTTATTTTTTTCATATCCTTTAAAAGCTTGTCCAAGAAAATGCACCAGAGACCTTTGATTAACTGAGAGAACTTAAAGGAAAGAAAAAAGTCACAGATAACCCTAATACTTCTAACTTTGGCAACTGATGTAGAGGTGCCATTTACTGAAGCAAAGCAAGCTGACCATGACAGGCACAAGGCCATATGCCAAGCTTGAGGTCACTGTGTAACATCCAAGCAGATATATCAAGAAGGTAACTAGGCTTAGAGAGACAAAGGTTTTGCCTGGAGTTTAAAGATGTGAGCTACAGATCATAATTGAAGCCAAACAGAGACCATCTGGGGAGACAGTATGGAGAATGGAGAAAAGGGCACAGAGTTTTGAGGGACAGCAACATTTCATAAATGGCCACTGTAAGAGGAAGAAAAAGAAGGGAGAAAAAAATGGAAGACGTGGAAACAGAGCCTGAGAAGGACTAGCTGAGGGGAAGGGGGAGAACCTAAAATGTGCCATCAAGTCAAGAGGAAAGTGTGTTTCAAGAAATGAGGAGTCAACCATTATAGAAAGAGGAGGACAAAAATATTCGCCAGTCTAGGATAATGCCCAAAGGTTAACAAGAGTTCACTCTAAGAGGTCGAATAACAAGAAATATTTATTATCATTATACTTTTCTGTATTTTCCTAATACCTGTAATGAATACATATGTACTACTTTTATAATCAAAGAGACAACAGCAAATGGACATTTAAAAACATGTTCAAGAGGAGAAAAACATTTTCTACATTAGGTGAGGTGAGAGGAAAGTAGTTTTTCTGGTCACAATTTGAAGCAATTATAATCCTATTGTGAGCAGGTTCCCGCATCTACTTGGTAACTGACCTCACTGGGCCGTCATCTCTTTTCATTCCATGCAGGAATTCCTTCTGAGGCACGGGGTCATCAGCCACAGAAGAGGGGCTTTCCTTGTCCGCAGCCAGTAAAGGCTGGGCCGCACTGGAGCTGCTGTTGTCATCTGAGGACGAGGACGAGCTGTGACAGCGCATGGGGACCTGCAGGCTCAGGTGCTGAGTCTTCCTCTCCACTTCCATTCCTCCTGATTTGTTCTCCCATTCTTTCCTCTTCATGCTGTTCACATGACCTACACCAACCAACAAAAGCAAGTTATGTGAACATAGTAATTTCAAAAGCAATTTATGAATTACATGGCAACTTAATTCAATTTCTTGTTTTGAAGTATAATCATTTTTTAAAAGCACAAGTATATAATTTCATAAAGCAAAGTATCTACCTAAGTGTGGATCCAGAATCCACAGACAGTGAATTTTTGTCTTCTTTTTTTTTAACTTTTATTTGGAAAATTTTCAAACTTACAGAAAACTTTCAAGAATAAGCACAAAGCCACCACATATCTTTTACTTGGAATTTCCCAAACACTTTGCCCCATTTACTCTATTTACATAATACTTTTTGAACCCTTGGAGAGAAATTTGCAGACATTGTGGTCTTTTACCCTAGATATTCAAGGGCTTACTTCCTAAGGATAATACATAACCCCCGTATAGTTACTGACTTAACAATTTAGTATTTATAGAGATTACTACCACATGCTTTCTAATTTTCTCAGCTAAACCAATAAGGACTTTTAGAGCATTCTGTCCCCTCCAGTATAGGATCCAATCTAGGATCATACATGACTGCATTTGGTTATCATGTTTTCTTTGATCGGGAACACATCCTCAGGTCTGTGATAAGAGCCCTATGAGATTACGTGATGGGAAGGGGCTGATTCTAGCTTCTGCTCAGGCATGTACGTGGCTATAGACTTCACGCACCTTAGTCTCAGTGATGAGACTCAGTTTATTCACTATAAACCGGTATGATATGCAACTCACATGGTAGTTTGGGGATTAAGTGAGAAAATGCCTGTGTAAATCTTTAAAAACAACATTATTCAAATGTAAGTAGGTAATAGTATAAGAAGACAATTTAACTGAAGTTAAATTGTACTTAGCAACTTTCTTTCCTTCCCATGTCAAGAAGTTTTGGTGTTTGCTGATTTTATAAGATAATCTGCTCTTATAAGCCAAACTGCTAAAGTCAAACAACCTTAAAATAATGTGTACACACTTCTATCTTACTATTCAGTGAAAAGTCACTTAAACAGGAATTAGGCATATGTAGATATGTAGTCCAGCTCTTTCCACTAAGGCAGTGCTAAGTTAATGGTTTTGAATGAACAAAGGAAACAAGACTAAATATTGGTGAAATATTAGGACTTTTCTACATTTCATTTGTTGACAGCATAGAAACTTAAGCAATAATTATTACACTTAATTGTAGGAACATACAACTAAGAAACCCAGAGGAAAAATCATATCTGAAGTCTTTAGAGCAAAGATACAAGATAAATCTAAAACTAATATCCAGTGAATACACCATTCACTGCTCATACCAAATGCATATATTTGCAGTTATCCTACAGACTCTATGGGAAGACCATACTTCTCTTCTTGACAAGTTTAATTTTAGAGATAAGAATATTTTGCCAAAATAATTGAGAACAGGGGGGCCAATGGTATAAATATTACTATTGCTAAGTTTTCCTATTGAAGTGAACTGGTAAAACAACCGTTACTTTAAAACATAACTATTCCTAAGTGTATCTGTGGAAGCTGGCTCCCAGGAAAAAGATGACATAAAAGGAAATATTTAGAATACGTCTGGATGAATAGTGGACCTACTTTTGCCTTGCATAAATCTGAAAAACTCACATCTTACCTGGCTTTAGCTCAATCACCTACAAAACAAAGCAGGCTATGAAATCCTACCTCCGAGACGGCTCAAAAAATGGAATTGCACACAGTAACAGTGAACTCCTCTCAGATGGCATAGGGATAAAGATGAAAAAGATTAGCACATTTCATTACCATCTACCATTTTGGGAATTTCCTTGGTAATAATCCACTCCCCAGGCTGCAACAGAGACTGTCCGTAGTACATGTCCGACTCTGCACTCGTGCTTGAAAATGCAGAGCTACTGGATGGTGTCAACTCTTCAAGCCTGAAGAAATCTAGGCCAGTCACTGTGCCACCAAAGAATCTGCAGCCACCAAGACAGCCACACTTGTGCCTGCACCTCTTATTCCTCAGGGTGTCATCAGGCCACAAAAACCACAGCCTGAACAGAATCCCAAACAAAAAAAAATGAGAAACAGCAATGGAACAAAAACTCATTAAGAACAGAAAAACTTTTTAGCAGATAATTAGTAACACATAAGTTAATTATTAATATTTGTAAAAGACACGGTAAACACAAAGGTTCATTTTTACTGTGATATGTCTTTTTAATCATTCTGCCATTTTAAACAAACAAACAAATGAACAACAGTCTCACCATGGTAAGTGAGATGGAAATAAGTAGGAACAATAAGAGACATATAGCATACATTAAAATAAACCAAAGCGCTAAGAACAAGCACATATAAAAATAATTTAAATCCAGTTTAAAAAAAACAGTAAATATTCTCAAAAGGACTAAAAATTTTAAACTTTAATCTAAAAAATGGACAAAACTATTAGTATAGATTATGTTTAATAGATTTGGGCATCTGAGAGCCTATTTCACATGGCATATTTAATACACCCAAAATATTATAAATATGGGCCAAGTAAAAAATTATTTCTTAATCAAATCAAAATAATGCTCTATTTTAGAGGAAAAAATTACAAATATTTTGTAATTATTACTCTAAATGAAGTATTAAGAATTGAGATAATATGGCCCGGCTGGTGTAGCTCTGTGGTTGAGTATCGTCTTATGAACCGGAAGGTCATGGTTTGATTCCTGGTCAGGGCACATGCCTGGGTTGCGGGCTTGATCCCCAGTGTGAGGCATGCAGGAGGCAACCGATCAATGATTCCCTCTTATCATTGATGTTTCTACCTTTCTCCCCCTCTCCCTTCCTCTCTGAAAACAGTAAAAATATTATTTTAAAAAAGAAACTATACTTTTCAGAAAACACTAATAAATTAATGGCCTACATGGTCAATAACTTTTCTGGTTATATCAGAAATTAATACACGTGCTCCCAAAAATCCTTGGAAACAAATATCCACAAAGGCACCCAAAAAGCTGAAAGTCAATGAGTTACTATGTAGGGACACAATCATATTAGGTCTTTACTTAAATACTCTGATTCCATTTCTAACAGTAAAACTTCCTCTATAATTATCCAGCAATTTTCATCTTAAATTTCACTTACCTCTTAGTTCTGGCATCGTGAGTTTCTAAGAAATGTCTCTGTGCCTCATGTTTAGAATGATGATCAGCTGCCAGTGCAATATCAACAGTGATTAGTCCTAAGGTGGCCGAGCCAGCTTCTAGCCAGTAGGCCCTCCGCAGAATCGCAGGCTGGAGCCCAGCTCTGGGATTATTCAGCTGTTCGATGTACTGTCTCACTTGGAAGTCCTGAATTGCTGCGCTTATCCCTTCCCCAACCGACTGGTTGTGGAGATTACAATTTGCAACCCGGATTGCCCCCATCTAAAGTTGAATGAAGAAAATGGAACAAAACTCTAGTTTCTGTATTTTTTAGCAACTTAGAATAAACTACATAATAGGTAATTATTTCAAGTTGCATAAAAGAGAAGAAAAGGAAAGGAAAAGGGGGAAAGAGCAATAGCAAAAATAAATGTAACAGAATAAAAACATTCAATTTAAGAAAAGGATAAAAGGAACATAGAACATGGTCCAAAGAAAAACAAGAGAAGGAAGAAAGAAAGCTAGAATAATAAGTAATAAAATCTTAACAAAGCTTGATTTTTAAACAGTAATGCACAAAGCAGAGGTGGTAAACAAATGTTTTCTGGAGCCAGGCAGGAACCATAATATATAAAACCTATAAGCATTCAAAATCCAATCTTTGAAAAACATTACCAGTCCACTTCCCTGCCATAAAGAAAGCTACTAGTCTATATCTCTGCCACAAAGTAATGTTATAATAATTCAGTTAGAGTAAAATAGCAGGAAAGTATGCCTTTAAAAAGTAATACTGGAAGACACCATGAATGAGTTGAAAACAGCTATCTCCTAGAATTCTGTAGTATTTGGTCAGATGGCAAATTATAAATGTGTGTTGTATTTCAAGAAATAGAGGTCTGGTTTGGTAAAAAGGAAAAAGAACTACACTGGCCAAGAAACAGACAAACATGTACCTTTATATTTGTAGCACAGCCATGCTCCACAATATAAATATCAGCTCCATCTACCGCTAAACGAGTCATGGTGTATTTCAAATCATTTGAAGCTGGACAGGGGCCAGGAATACAACTCAACTAAAATGGAAAAAGATGGAATAATTAATTCTATTTAAACACACAAACAAAATTCTGATCACATGTGTATTTTTTAAAATCAGTATGTTAAATTTCACTTTTTTATAATGATAAACAAAATCATCAGCAATTAAAGTCTTTCCAAATTAGAAAACTAATCACAAGTAACTATGTATGATTTTCATTTAAAAGGGGCAAGTAGCAAGTTTAAATGGACAGAATATAACTTGTGACTGAAACCCAAAAGGAATCATCAAGGTAAACAGTGTTAGAGGTTTATAAAAAATGTATAGTCTAAAGCTGTAAGATTTTTTATGAGTCCTCCATACACATATATACATACTTGTTTTATACACAACCACAAATACATCAACTGTGAATTTTATGGTACTATCTAGGACAAGCCACACAGATTTAATTTAGCTTTACTCCTAACACACAGACTTGTCATGTCTAGGTTGGACAAAAACATACCCGCCATCTACTTCAATGAGCTACCGGGGCAATGGCAGCCCTGAGTAAGTACTGGCCTAACAGCACATAACTGCTTGTTAGTGGCAGAGTGCACTATAAGAATATATTTCCTCCACACAAAGTAGACCTAAAACAAATAAATCTGAAATAACAGGAAGCATGCCCTAGCCAGTTTGGATCAGTGGACAGAGTGACAGCATGTGGACCAAAGGGTCCCAGGTTCGATTCCAGTCAAGGGCATGTATCTTGGTTGCAGGCTCCTCCCCGGCCCGGAACCTGGTCAGGGCTCATGCAGGAGGCAACCAATTGATGTGTTTCTCAGACACTGATGTTTCTCTGTCTTACCCTTTCTCTTCTATTCTCCCTAAAAATCAATGGAAAACTATTCTCAGATGAGGATTAACAACAACAAAAATAATAATCTATATATATAAAAGCCTAAGCGACTGTCCGACCGTTCGACTGTCCAACCGGTAGCTATGATGCGCAATGATCACCAGAGGGTAGACGTTCAACGCAGAAGCTGCCGAGTGACAGCAACTTTGCAGAGTGCCCTCTCACACTCCAGGACCCCTCGGAGGATGTTGGACTGCAGGTTTTGGCCCATCCTCACTGGCCAGGCTGAGGGACCCCACCTGCTGGAGGGAACTCGCTCATTCCACAGACGCCCTTTGAGCCCTGGCCCCGCCCCAGGTGTGGCCGGCTGGGGAGGGACCCCGGGAGGTTGGCTCCTGTGCGTGTCCAGCCCATCTTGCCCAGTCCCACCCTGCCACCACCTTCTAATTAATTTCCTTTAAATGTGCATGAATCCGTACACCGGGCCTCTAGTAATAAAATAAAATGACAGAAAGCATATGAGTTGCATGGCAGAGCAGCTGACTGCAAAGGGACATGAAGGAACTGAAGGTGATAGAAATGTTCCAGGTCTTCACTGGTGCTAGTGGTTACACCAGTATTTACTACATTCGTCAAAATGTGAAATGTACAACTTTAAAAGGGTAAATTGGGCACAGACAATAGGGTGAAGGCCTGGGGCAAGGGGCCGGGGATGGGCAGGAGGGGGTCAATGGGGGAAAGGGGGGGACATATGTAATACTTTCAACAATGAAGAATTATTTTAAAAAATGTATACACATATTTATGTGCGAGCCTGTGTGCATGCCTGTATATTGAATACACACACACTTGTAGAAATATACAGTCCATAGGGGAGGGAGGTGTTGTTTACACGTGGTATAAAAAAAAGGTGAATTTATTGCATGTAAATTATGCCTCAATAAAACTGAATGTGACATAAAAACTTTGAGTCTAAAAAAGAAAAAAGGGCCCTAGCCAGTTTGGCTCAGTACTTAGAGCACTGGTTCTCAGATTGAAGGGTCATAGGGTCGATTCTGGTCAAGGGCATTTACCTCAGTTGCAGGCTCAATCCCCGGTGCCAGATGGGGCTGCATGCAGGAGGCAACCAATCAATGTGTCTTTCTCACATCGATGTTTCTCTCTCTCTGTCTCTCTAAAAATACATTGAAAAAATACTCTTGGGTGAGGATTAACAAAAAAATAATAAAAATAAATAAATAAGAAAAAAGGGAGGAGACGCCTGTAAGCATGTGTGAATTATCCATAAGAAAGTAACTGGCCCTAACTGGTTTGGCTCAGTGGATAGAGCGTCGGCCTGAGGACTGAAGGGTCCCAGGTTCGATTCCGGTCAAGGGCATATACCTTGGTTGCGGGCACATCCCCAGTGGGGAATGTGCAGGAGGCAGCTGAATTGATGTTTCTCTCTCATCAATGTTTCTAACTCTCTATCCCTCTCCCTTTCTCTCTGTAAAAAAATCAATAAAATATATTTTTTTTAAAAAAGAAAGAAACTAACCGGCTGACAAATGATTAAGGAACTAATTTCTTGGGGCCTGGCAATGTGCATAGAACAGGAAAAACTAATTTTTTTAATGTTTTTATTTATTTCAGAGAGAAAAGGAGAGGGAGAAAGAGACAGAAATATCAATGATGAGAATCACAGATTGGTTACCTCCTGCATGCCCCCTACTGGGGATCAATCCCACAATCCAGGCATGTGCCCTGACTGGGAATTGAACCTCTTTGGTTCATAGGTCAACACTCAACCACTGAGCCACACTGGCTAGGCAGGAAAAACTAATTTTTATCACAAATTGTAGCTATTTCCATTATTGTTGGTAAATAAGCATGGGTTATAGATTTTTTTGGACATAAAATTAAAAGCAGGATGAATCACATTCAATTATAGTAATATATTAGCAAACAAATATACTTTGTATAGCAAAAGAATAAAGAAAGACACACAGGAAAGAAAATAGAAAAACTAAACAATAGTCATCTCTGTATTATAGAATAGGGTAAATTATTTTTCTCTTTTGAAACCAGAGTTTTCTGGGTTTTCTGAAATGGGCACACTTCTCCCTGCCCCCTCCAAATGCTCCCCACCCCCAAATTCATAAGGAACAGTATTTACTACAAAATAACAGTCTGCCTGTCATTGTCACAGCACCTTTTAAAGGTGCTGTAATGACCAAGTCAAGGTCATGCAATGTTGCAGAAAGAGCATAAATGAAGTCAAGACAACTGGCAAATGCCCCACACTGCTAATCACACTGCAGAAGAGAGGAGTCTGCAAACAGTGTCATGCAAGGAATCTGAACTTCCTCTGCCTTCAGTTTCTAATTCTCTACACAAATATAGAGCTAATCCCAAAGACTCAATGCAATCTGAGTATTGACAGCAAACAGGTAAGAGATAAGACATAACTTTCATATCTCCATTTATTTGTGAATGCACGTTTTAATAATTACCTCATATTTTATTTTTATTTTTTAATTGACTTCAGAGAGAGGGAGAGAGAGATAGAAACATCAACGATGAGAGAGAATCATTGATTGGCTGCCTTCTGCACACCCCCTACAGGAGATTGAGCCCACAACCTGAGCATGTGCCCTGACTGGGAATCAAACCATGACACCCTAGTTCAGAGGTCAATACTCAACCAATGACCACACCGGCCAGGCAACTATCTTATATTTTAGATACTTACAACTAAATAACAACTGGCTACGATTTGCAAAAGTAATTTTATTAATTTAAAAAACTGAACTATAGTGTTTACTTTGTGCCTATGTGCATTTGCTTTAAAGCTGATATTTTAATCGGTCATTTTAAAAAGTTCATAAATGTTTGTAACGCTGCTATCCTATTGGTCAACATACCTTGGATTCGCAGAACCGACGATCAAGTCCATGTTGACATGTTATTACTGACTTGGGTCTTTCCAGTTCATACTCCCGACACACCACATGAAAAACAAATGTCTGACCCCACTCCAAGAGACTAGCCAGCTGCAAAATAAGCAGTACAGTTTGACAACATGTTAGCACACTTAGCAAGCACTTGGAGCTCAAAAGCTAATTACGAATATTAACACAGCCCTGACCAGTTTGGCTCAGTGGCTAGAGCATCGGCCTGTGGACTGAAGAGTCCCAGGTTCGATTCCGGTCAAGGGCATGTACCTTGGTTGCGGGCACATCCCCAGTAGGGGGTGTGCAGGAGGCAGCTGATGGGTGTTTCTCTCCCATGGATGTTTCTAACTCTCTATCCCTCTCCCTTCCTCTCTGTAAAAAATCAATAAAATATATTTTAAAATAAAAAGAATATTAACACAGCTTGAAAGATCCCAAGCGCCATCTTATACATGCTGCTACATAATCCACTTGTTAGTCAATATCATGATTTTTCTACCTTGACATCATTTATAAACTTATGTTACTTTACATTCATGAATGACAAACTATATTTCCAAAATGAATTAATTTCAACTGAAAAATTCAACTTCTAAAGTACTTTTCTTCAAGGTCATATCTTCCTTCTTATATGACTAATCGGAGTCCTCACACCTCGAATTCTCTACCTAATAATCAATCAAGCTTTGGTGTGAAATTTGAGTATTTAATTATCATATTGAACTACGATTTAGGGAAATCAGGTATTTTGAAGATTATGTTTGTTTATGTAAATAAAAGCTTAAGTAACCATATAGCAACTCTTCATCATATCTTAAGATTTTAAAAAACCCCAAATTCTATAATTGATTAGAGTTAGTAAACACACTGAGACATGGTTATACATATTATCCCCCCTAAAAAGTACATAATTTAAACTATTGGAAAAAATGAATTTTGCTTTTAAAACAAAGAATGGCATAAACATTAAAAGCACCTAAGGAATCATGAATCTCACAGAAAACAGTGATGCCAAGACTATAGGGCAGAAGAAAATATTTCATTTTCTAAGAAATGCAATTTATAAACATGTGAGAGTCTAGCAATCCTTAGGTTAAAGGAATCGTATCTAGTCTTGCAGGATCGGCATAGCTCATTAGAAAACAAGCTTTTGTTATATGCTTCAGTTTTTACTTGTAAATGGAGAGACAGGAAATGGTGGATATTAAGGATAGGCTAGTTATGAGGCCAGAGAGCACTGAATATTTTTGTCCATTTTTATACATTCCATTATGTTTTTTGTATCCATTTCTATAGAAAATATCCCTTTGCAATTCATTCATTTTCCTATTTTTAGAATCCTAATTTTTGCTGTCTCCCAACAATTTATTTCAGATATAGAAGATACTTCGATTCATTATTCATCTTGTTGCTACTACCAACCTCTCAATTATGTTTCATACCCACTCTGTAACTTTTTATTAAAATTGAGTATGTACATTTCTGCCACATTTCAGTCTTTTGAAATGCCAGATAAGCATGCATTTTATCATAAAGATATGGCTCAACAGGTGAAATGTTACAGTAAAATGACTAGTCTACTAAATTTCAGTGGTCCATTTCTAGAAGTAAGTAATCTTTAAGGCCTCTGAGTCTTCTAAAGACACAGTGGGATGGATGGTGAAAGGGAGGGAGAAATTATCCAAAGGATCTTAACTAGCCCTCTAAGCCAGGCTTACTCACCAGTAAATTCTTACCTATTTTTTAAACCAGTACCCCACATCACTAATAAGCAGGTACAAATGATGGTATCTTGCTTTGAGACATGACAAGTAAAGAACTGTGCTACCTAATCCTTAATATCATAAATGCTAAGAAATACACAAAAAAGCAAAATTTTTAGAAAACTTATTCTATATATTGGGAAAAGGAGATTATTCCGACAGTGGAGAATCATATAATATAAGCTTAATAATACATATATGTGCAATATATAGCTCAGCCTAAGTTGTTCCCATAGAAAGTCTCAAATTCTTTAAAGTACTATGTAGAACTATCCAACATTACACTCATCAATTTCATGTGTCTCAGAAAAATGAAATTTGTTTCTTATTCATTTATTGCTAAGAAAAATTGTGAATGGCAGGAATCAGAATGTCATTAGTGGAAATGCAATGGACATTCAAAAACTTGCTCTTGGGGTAGTGGGTGAGTGGAGGAAAAGGAAAAGAATGTAGCAGATAGTACTCTGACACTCGTACCTGTGGTGCCGTGACCTTAGCTGTGAGGCTTCCAGCCTGCACGTCAATTAGCCATGCATATTCTAGGGAATCGCTTCCCAAAGGAAGACCTTCTGCTGAGAACATGGCATGTGCTCTCAGCTGGAGACCGGACAGATTAATATGACCTTCCTTGAGTGCGTCATCTACAGGGGGTCGCTGCTGAAAACAAGAACAAGGTAGTGAGAAATACATACAAGAAAATCGCATTATGATTTCTAGTTGTTTTTTCCCCAGAGACGAACAGTAAAAAAACATGCTATCTGGACAATAAGGCTTCAGGATTCACAAGCCCCTGACACGCCTTTTACCCATGAAAGTCTGAGTAAAGCTTCTGCAGTGACAGTATCCATGAAAGCCCAGCTACAAAGCAAGACAGCAAAGTCCTACAAAGAACATCGCTCTTTGAGTGGTCCCTGCCTTAAGGAAGAAAAAGAAACCCAGACTCTGACTGGCAGGAAATACAATGTCTTGTGGGAAGGCAGGAATCATGAGATTAAAATATTAAAAAGAAGAAAATAACAGGGAACAATAAAGATCATTAAGACCATAAAATGAAAAACTAGGGCAGGAAGCCATCTTCCATATAGATTTTGTTAGTAAAGGCATATTTTATCATGTTCTTGTCTCAAGAACATGATATGCTACCAAGCACCTCACACCTCTCCTTGCAACACTTTTAACACTTGAAAGTATTTATCTTAATGGTAATTCCCTCCATATTTCTCTCTCCACCAGTTGACTAGGGTAAAGACCATTTCTGCCTTGGTCATCAGGTATCCCACTGCACCTAACTGAGTGGCCACAAAAGCAGATACTACTGACCGAGTACCTGCACAGAGGACCTCACCTCAGGTCTTCTCAGAGACACCAACACACGGCTATACACTGAGACAGTTCACAGATATTTCCCAAGCGAGTTTTACTAAGGCAGCCTTCTCAGTGTGGTGTGCAGGCCAACTTACAGAGTTAGTGTTCCTTGTTTCAACACATTGTGGAAATGTGTTCTTAAAAAAATTGTTTTAAGGAGAAAGGCTAAAAAATCTAATTCATAAGGACTTCTTAGAAGGAAGTTTCAAATTATGACTATAATACACCTCTAGAACTTCTAAAAATGTTTTATTTTATTTTCATCTAAGTTGTGTAACAGTATATAAAATCGCTTAACTTCTCCAGGCCTCGGTTTCCTTGCTTTATCTGAGGGAGTTGGGGAGGATGGTCAGTAAAGATTTCTTCTGGCACAGAGAATCCATAATTCTCAGTATAAAATTTTTCATAGTTTTTTTTTTAAGCTTAAAAATACATAGGGAAATTGGCCTGTCCTAAAGGTGTAGCCTCCCTAGTACACTAATAAAGCTTATATTCGAAATTTGTATTATGGGTTGCATCATGTTATAGGGTAAATGGTATCCCCCAAAAGCTATGTTCAAGTCCCAAGCCCACGTACCTGTGAATGTGACTTTATTTGGACACAGGATAGGGTCTTGGCAGATGCAATCAAGTCAAAATGAGATTACATTGGATTAGGGATTCCTTCTTAGACATGTTTTAGTAAGAGAAAACTGGGAACACATAGACACATGAATGCCATATGAATATGGAAGCAAAACTTGAGTGATGTGTCTACAAGATAAGTAATGCCAAGGACTGCTAGCAACCAGCAAAAGCTAGGAAGAGACAAAGCACATCCTCTCCTGCAGCCTTCAGAGAGACCATGGCCCACCAGCACCTGGTTTCAGACTTCTAGGCTCAGAACTGTGAGAGAATGAATTTCTGTTGTCTCAAGCACCCGAAGTGGGATACTTTGCCACAGGAGGCCTAGGAAACCAATATGTGTCATAAGATGACCATGAAGTAGAATGTGTAGTTTCCTAAGTCGGACACAGTAATCTATCCATCGCTTTAGATCAGGGGTGGGGAAGTCCAGTCTGTGGGACTTGACCTCTCATAATGAGCTCAATAAAATGTTTTTTTATATCTGGTCCAGTCTTTTGAGAATGTAGTGATGGAAATAAAAGTTCAAGTGTCATCAGGTATTCATAAGAAACCAGATATTTAGCTAAGATTCTCAGAACTCAGCCATCAGGAGACACTTCCCTTCACCCTTATTAATTTCCTCAATAGATTGAAAACAAGGAGATGGGCTTCCTCTCCACACACTCACCTCCCAGAATTTAAAAAAAAAAATCAACCAATTCTAATGATCCGCTAATTAGAGAGAGAAGAACAAGAGTTGTTTTTAAGGTTCCTGCAGCAAGCTAAAATAAAAGTGCTGTGCACGTGAGATCTTTCTGATGATAGCACAGTGCTGCATCTTGATTTCAGTGACAATCTATATGGGGTGAGTAGACACACAACTATGCACACCCACTGCACCAATGTCAACTTCCTGGTTTTGATATTGCACTATAATTATGTACAAGGTCAACATGGGGAAACTGGGGGAAGGGGATACGGGGACTCACTGTACTAACTTTGCAACTTCCTGTGACTCTATTATTATTTTGAAATAAAAGTTTTAAAAAGGAAGCACATTTTGTGGCAAAAGAAGCATGTAGTATACTATGTATATATGAAAATATAAATTAAAATTCTATGTAGAAAAATATAATCATTGCCGAAACCGGTTTGGCTCAGTGGATAGAGCGTCGGCCTGCGGACTGAAAGGTCCCAGGTTCGATTCCGGTCAAGGGCATGTACCTGGGTTGCGGGCACATCCCCAGTAGGAGGTGTGCAGGAGGCAGCTGATCGATGTTTCTCTCTCATCGATGTTTCTAACTCTCTATCTCTCTCCCTTCCTCTCTGTAAAAAATCAATAAAATATATTTTAAAAAAAAAGAAAAAGAAAAATATAATCATTTATGGCAAAACAGTGAAAAGGGGGTAGGCTATTAGAAACAAGATGATCAATTACTACACAGACTCCATAGTAAGTTATTATCCATTGATAATCTGAGGTATCAGATTCACCTTCCCACTTACATATTTCCCTGGCCTTGTATTAATCCATTTATATTTCTAAAAGTAGAGAAGAGCCCTAAAGTAATGGTAGAAAGAGAAGCCATCTGTCATTAAAAATTAATAATTATGAAGTGATAATCTACCCAGGAAATAAATTATTCCCATTTGATGAATATCATTGGCTCTCTTCCAAAAGAGCCCCAGGGATACAGTGAAAGCATTAACAAAGTATCCTGTAGGTATGTCAGATAAAAAAAAAATAAATCATTGGCCATGCAGATATGCATGTTTTGAAGATTTATGGTACTGGTTGATATTAATACTTAGGTTGTGATTGTCAGCAGAATCCACCAATATTTTCTACATTTTTCCCTTCCATAAGTAAATGAGAAAGTTATAAAGTATTTCTTTCCATTTCTAAAAACAATGGATATAATATATGATTGTCTGGGACCACATAAACAGGGAAAGCGGAAAGATAATGAAACAGATTCTTGGAAAACTCTCATACATCCATACACACATACAAAACTTCTTACTATGGTTAAATGATAAGTCTCTAGTTTACAGAGCAGTAGCCTCCATGTAACACATTGTTTTCACCCTATAAACAGTAACAAGAAATTTCTAAATCTCTACACGACTCGCTTTCACGTTACCTGATAGTTGTCACTGACGAACACACTCAGGGGTGACAGCACAAGCTGCAGCATGGTCTCCCTAAATCCTTTTTTCATTTCAAAACACAGTCTTTCCAAGAAAGCTGTGGGACACTCAGGACCATCGGCAGTTCCGTGCTAAAGTCAAACAAAACTCCATAATCAAAATATAGAAAAAGGCGAAGACCAGGGAAGTACAAGAAAATAAAAACTGTATTTATATGATTAAGAGATTTTGAATTTTAAAAAGAGAAACAGTGCTTTACTGACAAACACAAGTTACTGGAACCCCAGTTAGGACATTAGGTCCACTAAGCACACAGGTGGCCTCTCTGCTGTGCAGCCCTAGGCACATGACATGCAGCCGGTAGGCAGCCCAAAGCTCAGGGCCACCCACCACATCTGGCCTGGACCCATTGGCCATGGGTTCTTTGGGGAATATAATCCTGTTCCAAGTCAGCCCCAACAGGCCCACAAGTCATCCTTAGAGTGAACCAGGATTCAATGCTGGATCTGAAACTGCAGGGGTACAATTCCACCTCCAGGGTCAAGCCTGAAGCTTGATTTTGTAATAGGTCCACCATGAGGCCCCAAACTGGTCTGGAGTTGGAGATGAAGACTAACAAAATGTAAAATCCTAGAATATCCTTCAAGCTAACTATAAACATGTCAAAATGTTCTGAAGTTGCACAGAACAACAAAGAAGAAACACAAGTGAAAGGAGAAAGAGTAAAATTATAAATGAGCAAGTAATCACATTCTGAAGAAAATAAGCTAGCTTTATAGAGATAAAAGGATAAATTTAGAAGTTTTTAATCTGAATTTTTCTATAGTTATATGTGTGCGCACACATACAGTTTCCTATGCTGGGTGAATTTCACATGATATTCCAGACTATTTTGATAAGTAAACACTTACAATAGGCAGACGCCCATGAACTTTGTACAAATTCACAAGCACGGTAATATCCCAAGGACGCAAGGACAGAGGATGAATTGACTTGGCTGAACTTTCGTTTTCCTTTCTATCACCTTCCATTCCGACTGCAGTCCATCCAGAGCTGGATGACGTTGACAGGGACAGCACCGGACTTGAAATAACCTCTTCAAAATCCATATACATGTCATCTTCCCCAAAATAGTTTTCCTATAAATATTAAGAACAAATGGCTATCAAAAGAAATATGTAACAACAACTTTTCACCTTACAGCCTAAAGTTTGTAAACTAAGCATCTCCCTAACCTATTTTATTTTATTAAAAGCATCTGGTCTGTTTCCTTAAAAATGGAAAAAAGGATACACATATTTAAGACATATGCTTACTTGGATGCTTATCAAATAAATATTCTATAGCAAAAAAACAAACAAACAAACAAAAAGTTACAGAAGTTTATGTAGTAAAGCTTCATGATAATACCACCTCTAATTATAGCAAAAACTTGCAACCTACATCTTAGAAGAAATCTTTGGATATTTATAAGGTTCAACAGTTGTCAACTGTACTTCTCAGAGCGCAGAGGAAATAATACTCAGAGACATCCTTTGGGGGAAGCAGATCACTTCGCTGAAAATCAATTTGGCTACATCCAACTGGCTGAATACTACAATTCATATATTCCAGTTGGAATATTTATCAGGAATGTTTTAACAGTTTAATAAGAATGTCCAATTTTGGTTGTTGCTGACAAAACATGTTATAAAACAGTTACCAAAACTTCCTTTCACATAGTTCATCCTGGTTTCTTATGCATTAATTAGTGTTCCCACTACTAATAATATTCTGTTTCTTTGCATCAAATTTTATTTTTAATTAAAATATTTTTCTTCCCATTTATTTTGTATTTTGTCTATTTGATCTGTCAGTATTAATCAAAAGCTGTTAAAATATTCCTGTTAACACTGTTAACTATATTTGTTCAATATTAGAAACAAGTCAATGTTTGGTAAATTCTGCATTCTGGTTATTGACATTTGTTTTCTGGCTAAGATTCCAGACATCAGGTCAATTACTATCTTTTCATATAGTGCCTGGACAATAAAAATCCAAAACTACTGACTCACAACACCAGTGCTTTTTCCTCTGTTTCCTGCCTCTAAATAATACAGGTCCTACTTAGAATCTGCTTGACATGAGATTTTAGGTACCTTCTAAACCATTCAACTAGCACTTCTCCTCCCAGTCTTGGCTAGCAAATCTTGACTGTCTTTCCCTGACCAGCCTTAACCATCCCAAACCTTCCCAGAACCTTGTGTGTTACAGGTTCTGCTAGCTAAGCATTCGCTATCCCAGCCTCTGCAGCAATGAGACCACAAAAGGGAGTGTGTAAGGAAGCACTGATGAAACTAGACTCACACACGGAACGCCACTGCCCGTGACTATTAGGGTTTGGATAATTAGTCTCTCTTTGGTTGTCAGATGTAGTAAACACCCAACATGAATTTGAAAAATCTTGGGAAAATGCAAAATTCATGATAATAAGTATGTCAGTTTCACTGGATAACTGCTCAAGTCTCCGGTAAACCTCTCAGTGATAAGTGAGGATCTGGAAGGCTTAATTACCTATGCAGAAGAGTAAATCAGTAAAAATTATTGATGACTTCTGGTGACTTTTTAAAAGTATGAGCTGAATATTAAAAGGATAAGAGAGACATCTAGAAAACTGATGAAGTCCTCACATATTGTTCTTAAAGTAGCCTCTCTTCATAAGCATGTTAAAGACACCAACCTCTAAGTGCTCTCATACTGTAGTCATTTAATTTCAGTGAAAGAATTATACCAAAATTCATTAACACTTGATTTAGTCCTTACTCAAAAAATAAGTGCATATTTCTTCAGAACCTAAATTTGTGATATTCTGAAATAAACTTACTTACATATATTTGCTTCAAATGTTAAGATGGAACTCCAAACAAACCTTTGATTAATTACCATGAAATAAAGTTGTCCATTTTTAATCGTTTCACTTGAAGTAGACTTTTCCTAGTACCAATTACCCTCAGATAAGAAATTAACTTATACTTACTGCATTAAGTACAATGTGTTAAAGTTTGTCCACACATGTCTGTCCTGCTTTATCCCTCCTAACTTTTCTCCTTGAGAGCAGATGCAATATCATTTCTATCTCTAGCAGCTAGCACAACTCCTAGAACATGCTAAATGCTCAAAATAATGATAAACTGAGGAGTACACTACTTTAATAAATAATTTTATAATTGAGTCTAGTACTATCTATACTATCCTATAAATAAAAGGCTAATATGCAAATCAACCGAACGGCAGAACAACCAGTTGCTATGATGCACACTGATCACCAGGGGGCAGACGCTCAATGCAGGAGCTGCCCCCTGGTGGTCAGTGCGCTCCCACGGGGGGGCGCCGCTCAGCCAGAAGCCGGGATCATGGCTGGTGAGTGCAGCAGCAGCAGCACTAAAGACCCCTCGGGGGATGTCCGACTGTTGGCTTAGGTCCCGCTCCCCAGGCGCAGGCCAGGTTGAGGGGAACCCCCCCCCAAGTGCACGAATGTCATGCACTGGGCCACACACACACACACACACACACACACACACGCTAGAGGCCCGGTTCACAAATTCGTGCACAGATGGGGTCCGGCTGGCCTGCCCCAATGGGGGTCCATCGGGGGTGGGGCCAGCTGGGGGAGGGGCCGAGAGAGGCTCCAGGGCATGTCTGTCCTATCTCTCTCAGTCTCGATCAGCCGAACCCCAGCAGCAAGCTAACCTACCGGTCGGAGCATCTGCCCCCTGGTGGTCAGTGCATGTCATAGCAAACAGTTGAGTGGCCTTAGCATATCATTAGCATATTATGCTTTGATTGGTTGAACAGATGACCAGACACTTAGCATATTAGGCTTTTATTATATAATCTATTCTCAACATATATAATATATTCTCAACACTTGAAATCATCCAACTGGCTATTGCAAATGGTCTCAGTTTCAATTAGATATTAACTGCTTTGCATATATCTAAAAATATGCAAGTTCTTTTAAAAATATCATACCTTTATACAAAAAAAAGCATTTAATAGTGGTCCATAGAGAGTTATCTGAGAGTCTGGGGAAAGTTCCATCTCCACATGCAGTTTATCAGGTGGCAGCTCGGAGGGGTCAACAGGTGGGCGGGAAGAAGTAGAGGGAGAAGAAATGACTCGGTCTGACGTCTTCTGGGATGGCCTCAACACAGACAGCATTGTTTCTTCCATTTCTGATACTGGGATAAATTCGGAAACAAAAAGTTTGGTGAAGGGAGGAAAGGGCCTCTTAGAAATTCTTCAAGGCAAATATGAAAGCAATTAACTCTGATATAATACATATAGCATAACTGAAAACAAACCTGAAAAACTAATAATTAAGAATGTAAAATAGAACAGACTTCATTGAAATATGTGCAGAAATACATGAATCAGACTGCACAGACTCAATGAAAAATTCCTGTTAACATCAAGTCCCTGCAACATAAATTTGGGTCATGATTAGGCTTTAATTATACTTGGGCATTAAAGTACAGTGGTTTTCCTTTAAACAGCTATTCAAATACAGTGTGATGTTACCAAGCTCCATACATAAGAACAATTTTGAAAATTATTCTTTAAAACGTAACTCACTGGAATAATACAAAGGAATAATCACTTGACTCTAATTCCATTTTGGACCCCAATTATAAGGGGCATTAGCTTCAGGATAACTATGATAGTTATCAAATGCATTAAAGAAACTAACACTTCACAAAATCAAGTACTTTAAATATGTAGTTTGACATACACATTGTTGTTATTTCAGCTCTGCTGCTTCTAGAGAGACAGACCTGAGAAAATTAGATAATTGCTTTTTCTGAGCATTTCTGAGCATATTTCCTCAACTCTACAATGATAATAAGAATGTCAAGCCCTGACCGGTTTGGCTCAGTGGATAGAGGACTGAAGGGTCCCAGGTTTGATTCCGGTCAAGGGCATGTACCTTGGTTGTGGGCACATCCCCAGTAGGGGGTGTGCAAGAGGCAGCTGATGGATGTTTCTCTCTCATGGATGTTTCTAACTTTCTATCCCTCTCCCTTCCTCTCTGTAAAAAATCAATAAAGTATATTAATAAAATAAAAAAAAGAATGTCAATGTCTAGCTCATAGTTGTTGTAAGGATCAAATGAGATAATGCAAGCCAGGAAACAGCTTGGCCTACTAATTTATACATAGTAAATGCTCAATAAAAGTTAGCTATAATTACACCAAAATCCTTAAAAGATTTTAATGTATACAATTATGTCAAAAGAACAAATGCATTTTTTTTGTATCTTTGATGATTATCAGTCATAACACCAGATGTTTCAAAGTACAAATTATATAAAAAACACTTACATGATTGTTTTAGCTGCTCATCTGCTTTCTGTGGGTAAACTGGATGCCATGTATAATCGATTGTAAGCATGACACTTGGGACAGTCCAACATTCAACCCAACCAGCCCTTTAAGAGTAAAGTATAAAGTTTCTAGTCAGGTACTTATTCCTTTCATTATATACATACAATAGGTGCAGATAATCAAAGTTATTATTATTCTTAGAAAGACTCTGAAGAACAGTTTCTCCACATAGTAACACAAAATACTTAAGTCACTCCTGTTAGGTACTCACTTTTCTTGAGTAAGGTTCCGCCATTTGGGTTTAACTGTTTTCTGGCTGCTCTGACACTCAGCAGGAAGACCAGTGTCATGAGTCATTTTATTTGGGTGGCAATTCTTTACCAGCATAAATAATGAATATTTACTAGGGTGACAATCTGGTAGAAACAGATGAAGATCAACATCTTCTCCCTAAAAAATAATTTATAATAACCCACAGTAATAAAATAGGTACATAAACATGTTAAGATACTATTTACAGCCAAACCTCTCCATAATAATCCTGAGAATAATTTTTTTTTAAAAAGAAACCATAAATTCCAAATGGCAGATGTAACACTGAACAGTCAGATGAATAACTGGAGTAAGATTTTACAGAGTAAAACTAAATTCTGATTACAATATTAAGAAAAAAGTCAGGATAATAAACAGCATAGTTGCCACAAAACAGTAAAAAGATTATCTTCAGCCCTAGCTGGTTTAGCTCAGTGGATCGAGTGTCGGCCCACAGACTGAAGGATCCTAGGTTTGATTCTGATCAAGGGCACGAACCTCAGTTGCAGGCTCAATCCTATGCAGGAGGCAACCAATCTATGTGTCTCTCACATCGATGTTTCTCACCCTCTGTCTCTCCCCATCCCTTCCACTCTGTCTAAAAATCTATGGGAAAAAATATCCTCAGGGGAGGATTAACAAAAAACAAAAACAAAAAAAAGATATCTTCAATGGGTATACATGGATATTTCACATATAATTCAGTAAAAAATAAAAAATTGTCTCACTAATATAAGCTCAAGTGAAATATGTTCTGTATTTTTATTAATTTTTAAAACATGATTGTCTCTTTTAATTCTAATAACTCTTGATTCTTCAATTGGCTTTTAGGAATTCTGAATTGGTATATCAAAGGATCTTCATTCAGCTTCACTTCTGTCCTTTTATTAGTAGGTTCCCTAATCTTTTTCATCCTGATGCCTAGTTTCTTAATAAGCAGCACAGTAGAGTGCTTAAAAGAATAGAACCCTAAGCTTTGTTACCTGGGTTCAAATTCCACCTCAGCCACTCACTAGCTACATAACTAGTTACGAAACTCAGCTCCTCAGTCTCCTAGTCCATAAACGCAGATAATAATAACACCTGCCTCAAGAGGGTTGTTCTCAGAATAAAATGAGTGACCACAGATGAGCACTGGCACATACAAAATAATTCACAGGTATTAGCTGTTATTATTGTTGTTATTTTTTATCACATAACCTCCATCAATACTACAACTACTACTGACTGCTTGTGCCCTAAAATTAGGCGTTCCACAAAATTCTGACTGCATATGAGCTGGCTTTTAGATAAAAATAAGAAAGGTATTTGTGGCTATTGCTTGAGTTTGTAGGTGATTACAATGAGGAATGACATATAGGGAAGTATAAAATCTAGTGCATAGACATAGTAAACATTAGAGCTAGAATGGGTGCTTAAAAGAACATAGATCAGCCTCAAAGGTTAAGAAATAATCAACTCGGAATTGTTTCCTTATTGCCCCACTTCTTGGGGAAAGCTGGAAAACTCAGGGGAATGGCAGAACACTAGTCAACTACAAAAGAGGGACAAGGGCCATTCTGTGCCACAAACATTAGTGAACAATGGAGGAAAGCTAAACTACTTCCGGGTGGCCAGGGGACAGAGGTAGAGGGATGAGGTGGGGGTGGGGGGCTGAAAAGGGGGGCAGGGGTAGAAATAAAGATAAGCTTTGGGAAATCCAACTTACTAACAAACTTTGTGGGATAAACAATGCATCCAACTATACGTACTCTTAGGGAGAACTTGGTATTACATGTAACTGGAACGAAGTCGGTAAACGGCAAAGAGAAATCAATATTTAGTGTTTCTCCACAGGCTGCCAGATATACTACAAAAAAAGAAAAAAAATTCTTTTAACTTCAATAAATTTTTAAACCTAAACAAAATTAAATTTAGTCTATATGTTTAGTCCAATACAAACTCTGAAATAATTCTCTGAGAGTCTCACAAAATAATGGGAAAAATTCCAGTATCTATCACAACTATACAATCAATATCAATTTGTTGGTATTTGTCTTAATGAACAAAATACTCAACCTAATTTTTTTAAAGTTCTTACCATTTTCCTGTTGTTTAGTGGAACAGTCAATCCAGTTGTGTTGATTAGCAGCCCAAATCATTTCAAATTGATGAAACATGATTTTAAAATTCCATGTATATGGAACAAATGAAAAAATATCTGGAGCATTATCACTAGACCAGTCTTGAATTAAATCTAAAGTTATCAGGATGGGAGATAGAAATTAAAATTAAGTGAAATTCAGAAAACAAATTATAAAAATTCTAACACCAGTAAAAAATCTATTTTTCATTTATAACTAAAAAGAACTCTTATCCTGAAATATTAAAAGGTGATTAAAGAAACTGTAGAAGATTAAAGAGAAAAACATCATCTGTTATTCACTACCCACACATCCAACACTGAGGATACATTTCCTTCTAGTTTTTTTTCTATGTAGATTTTATACTATCTTATATCCTCCTATGAGAAATGTATGCTTGACTATTTTGTTGTACCCTCTCCTATATATTTTTTAATATATTTTTATTGATTTCAGGGAGGAAAGGAGAGGGAGAGAGAAAGAAACATCAATGATGAGAGAGAATCACTGATTGGCTGCCTCCTGCACACCCCCTACTGGGATTGAGCCTGCAACCTGGGCATGTACCCTGACTGCGAATTGAACCTATGACCTCCTGGTTCATAGGCTGACCCTCAATCACTGAGCCACCCCAACTGGGCTGTATATTTCTTTTGATCTCTTTCTCTCCCTCCCTGTTTCTGTCTCTTTTTGGGGGGGTGCGGGGAGGGCAGCTTGATAATTGGTAACTGGAAGATGCCACCTCATTTAATTGAATTTCTTAAGTGTAATAGGGTTGACCATTTTTCCTGTTGTTTTATTCATTAAACAAATACCAACAGAGTGTCTATTGTGTGTCAGACTCTATTCTAGACTCTGGTGAACAAAACACAGACTTGGCCTTCTAAGAATTTACAGTCACTTATTTTTGTTGATTTGTTGTACTGCTAATTTGTATGGTCTGGTTGTTGATTTCAAAATTGTGTTCCTATAATTAGTGAACCTATCCTTTGGTATCTTTATTTTAATCTCAATAGGTAAAAGCTCCTTACGTTGATGTTTCTCTGTCTCTCTCTCCCCACCCCTGCTTCCACTCTCTCTAAAATCCAATGGAAAAAATATCCTCACTCCTTGGGTGAGGATTACAAAATAATAATAATAATAGGTAGCTCTAGCCAGTTTTGCTCAGTGGATAGAGCACTGGCCTGTGGACTGAAGGGTCCCGGGTTCAATTCCAGTCAAGGGCATGTACTTCAGTTGCAGGCTCCCAGACCTGGTCGGGGGGCATGCGGGAGGCAACCAATTGATGTGTCTTTCTCACATCGGTGTTTCTGTCTCTCCCTCTCCCTTCTACTCTCTCTAAAAATCAATGGAAAAAATATCCTCAGGTGAGGATTAAAAAATATATTATAATAATATTAATAGGTAAAATTAATTAAATATTTAAAGTAATTTTTTTAATTTTAATGGAAATTTATACTAAAAAATATTAGATTCAATAATGATATCAGAAATCAAATTTATCTCATATAATATCATAGGAACTCATTTAAAATTCAATGTACATAAGTTTGTGCAAGATATTAGAAATTCCTCTTAATAAAATAATACATTTAATATCAAAAGTTATAATAATTTAAATTAATAATAGTAACATGTAGAGTTTTACTATGTCAACAACAAAAGGCATATGGCTATTAACTTGGTCTATGAATAGAGAAAATTCCACTTATTAATTTTACCTTAACTGTATTTTTGTTTAATTTAACAAGCAAACACAGTGGTTCACCATACCTTATAGTATCTCTACTTACTTCTACATGCCACCTTACCTAACAAATGGGACGCATCCCTACCTTCTAACTATTCTGTAGCACAATATCTAGCAGCTGGGAGATGCCCAAAAGCCATCTCTGGAACTAACCAACTCCACAATACAAATTCATCATTCATCCAGCTGATTTTATCACTTTTCTCTCTCAGAAACGTTTTTGATTCTGCACTTTTACTCAAACTATTCATCTTATCTAAAATAAATACACTCTTTGCTACCCTCTCTTCTGAAGGAAAACTCTAACCATCTTTAATAACAGCATCATACTACAGAGAGAGCACAGGGTCTACATTTGAATAATTGTTCTTAAATGTTCTTCTACTAACTAGTGATAGAGGAATAGAAGGAAGGAAGGAAGGAAGGAAGGAAGGAAGGAAGGAAGGAAGGAAGGAAGGAAGGAAGGAAGGAAGGAAGGAAGATTGTAGCAATCAATCAAGCAAATATTAGGTGCTCTGGGACAGCCACCAACCCTGGCAAATCAGACCAACTCTGTTTAGCTAAACTTGTCACAGGAAGTCTCAATAAACGCAACTTGTTTTCATATAGAAATATTTATGTTACTCAGAGACCAAGACTTACATGTTTGCATACTCAGGAAATAAATATGAGTAGCTATTGTAATACGCTGCAACAAATGAAGGAATTTTCTGACTAATGACAACACCAACTAAATTGTCCATGCCAAGAAGAAAGTAGGGGCTCCCAATACAAACATAGCATATTTGACTATTTGAATATACTGTTTGTAGATTACAATAATCAAAACAAAACCATGAAGCCATGCTGATGCCTAATTCAAGAAGATAAATTGATTCACCTTCCCCATCATACTCCCCACTAGACTGAATCAAAGTACCAGCCCAGCCTAAGATGGGTTCTTTTTTTTTTTTTTTCAGCTCAATTTTGGGTTCATATTTTCCTTTTTTGTGTAGAAAGAGAGCACAACATATCTATATTTAAATTTTCCCTTTGATCTTCTTGGCCCAAAAAGTGTGAAAGTAAAAAAGTTTGAATTGTGTCATCAAATCCCCAGGCTGAATCTAAAAGTAAAACTCACATGAATAGAAAGCAGTTCCCTATAATGAATCTCATTGCATTTTTTTTTCATTAGAAAATTACCTGTGAAGAAGTTCTTCTGTGCAAAGATGAAGTGGTAGGTGGCTTTATACACCTCTAATTCACACTGCCACGTCTGGGGCATGTTCCATACTCGGGGGTAGCTGGCAATGATGTGGAACTGAAAATCAATGTCAAGTCAAAATGTTAGAGTTTAAAATGTGACCCTATGTGAAGAGCTTCAGAAATAAACTCACACACGCTGGTGAGTACTGAAAACTTATTTTCCTACTGAGCAGAACAGAAGGTTCCTTTGAGATTTTAATATTGCTGTGGCTGAAGGTCAGCAGCCATGGTTATATCCAGTTCCTTGAAATACTAAGCCATGAGGTGGGGGAAAAAAAAAATGAGGAACAATCAGGTTACAGTTTCAACACTGTACGTGAGTTAAACTCAGAATAACAGCAACACCCTTAACTCCTCTGCATGCCCAACCTGGTCAGTGAGAGGTTCGGGCACAGAGAGTGTATGCAACGGATACTGTCACACACAAGCCTGGCCCCAGAGCCTCCTGGGTTCCCATTTGACAGCGTGGTGGTTACAGGTCTGTATTCCACCTGCCAAAGCTGGACAATTCTGCAAAGGCAAGAGCTGCTTGATTAGGACCAGCAATTTTGCACAGCAGTACTTATCAGTTAGAGCTCAGCAATCATTAAAATGCTGAATATGCCAGTTGAATATACATTTATGGTACTCAATATATTCTTGGTTAATTGCAAACGTTTCCTCTTAATTTACATATATATCATGTAAATAGCTTGTTTAGGCAAACAATTAAGGACCGACTAATATAATACTGTGTAAAAGAATCCTCTCTGATTATCAGCCATTGGCTTCTATTATTGTTGTTATTGTTGTTGATCCTAACAAAAAATGATTATCTGCCTGATTACTGAGTCCCTAATCTGAAATTTTGGTCATAAGTACTTCCTTATTTTTTCTCTTTGTACTATGCAGCAATCCAGGGTATTAAGATTTTCTTCCTTTCACCTTATTCATCAAGTAAAAAGCAGAATGAATTATTAAACCCTGAGAAAGAATCCAAAGGGGCCAGAAAACATATAGTAAAAAACAACAACAAAAAAAACAGCCCTAGCTGATTTGGCTCAGTGGATAGAGCATTAGCCTGTGGACCACAGGGTCCCAGGTTCAATTCCGATCAGGGCAGATGCCTGGGTTGCAGGCTTGATCCCCAGTAAGGAGGCGTGCAGGAGGCAGCCAATCGATTCTCTCTCATCACTGATGTTTCTATCTCTCTCTCCCTCTCCCTTCCTCTCTGAAATCAATAAAAATATATTAAAAAACAAAAAACAATCTGCCCAGCTGGTGTGGCTAAGTGGTTGAGCATCAACCTACAAACTAGGAGGACACGGTTCGATTCCTGGTCAGAGCACATGCCCAGTTGCGGGCTTCATCCCCAGTATGGGGTGTGCAGGAGACAGCTGATCAATGATTCTCTCTCATTATTGACGTGTCTAACTCTCTCTCCCTCTCCCTTCCTCTCTGAAATCAATAAAAATATATTTTTTTTAAGTAATTCCTTTTTTAAAAAAAAAACACCACAATCTTATTTACAACATTGGAGAGAATTAGTCTAGCCATACAGTGAAGTTTAAAAACAATATCCTAACAACTGTTCATATTTTTAAAGGCCAAAACCCCACATTTAATTGCCTTATGTTTACATCCCCCATACTAGGAGCAGAATAACAGAGAGTGCCAGGGATTCTACATCACTGGGAATCTACTTCTCTTTCCAAATTAAGGCCAAAGAACACCTGGTGGTTCTTGAATAGGAAGATGGACCATTTGATGACTTCTTGGTCATTACAATTTTATATTAAAAAATTAAAACCAAATTTATATTTTTTGCACCTATATATATCTTCATATGCCCCAGACTTACCGCTAGCATTTCTGCTTCTAACAGGGTCCGGTACTGCATGCTGGTAGTGGCATCAACATGTAACAGTTGTCCTTTAATTGCAGGAGTGTAACCTAATAAGTGAAAACATAAAAATTAAGAATCTACTGTAAATAAATCCCACCACAACCCAAAGAAGAAATCCCTGAAATGTGGTGGTCAGTTGCTATTTAAATATACCCCAATGATGCGGAGGGAGCTTGCAACCACATAGGTGACCTTTCTCAAATGACCACCTCTGAGGGAAGAAAGTTTCATATTCATATAATGTCTATCATGACTTGCTTTCTAGTGCAAAACTACTGTTCTCTAAATGACAGTTTTGAACTATTTAAAATAGCTCCCATGTCCTCTCTTCTTCCACTAACTCCAGCATACCTATTTTCATCTTTTTCAACCACTCCTTATACAATGACAGTTTCTGTACAACAGCTCTTCCTTATACAGTGACAGTTACACCAAACCATGCAGCCTGTTCTGAACAAAAGCAGCAGCTCAGAGTATATCACTTCTTTTCTGGATGGGCTGCCCTTCCAGAAGCATGACCTCTGAGATCATTATTATATGGCTACTCCAACATGCATCCTGCTCTGGGCTTTTTTATTTTTTTCCAAACACCTGAATCTCTGAAAAAAGTTGTGCATGTATTTGAGTTCTGTTTTGTTCTTGTCGCAGACCTAAGCTTATTTCCCGCTCAGACAGTCACCTTAAAAACCACCTCATCTTGCCCTAGCTGGTTTGGCTCAGTGGATAGAGCGTCGGCCTGCGGACTGAAGGGTCCTAGGTTCGATTCTGGTTGAGGGCATATGCCCAGATTGTGGGTTCGATCCCCGGTTGGGGGCATGCAGGGGGCATTCTTTCATCATTGATGTTTCTATCTCTCTCACCCTCTCCCTTTCTCTCTGAAATCAATAAGAAAAATTTTTTTTAAAAATCCACCTCACTTTGACCAAGGACCCCATCCAGCCTTTCCTTACCAGGGGTGGGCAAACTTTTTGACTTGACGGCCACAATGGATTCTTAAACTGGACCGGAGGGCCGGAACAAAAGCATGGATGGAGTGTTTGTGTGAACTAATATAAATTCAAAGTAAACATTACATAAAAGGGTACGGTCTTGTTTTTTTTTAGTTTTATTCATTTCAAACGGGCCAGATCCGGCCCGCGGGCCGTAGTTTGCCCACGGCTGCCTTAGACCCTTCCCTCACTCTGAGTTCCATAGCCTGTGTGCTGGGGCACTTCCCATGAATTCCTAATAGGTGTGCTCCAGACCCCACAGCCCTCAGGGGGCCCCTCACCTAGTGCACCAGTAATTGTATACAAACTGTTTGTATAAATCTTACTTCCTATGTGCATCATCAGTTTAAAATGGTAGCAGCATTCCCTCAAATGAACCCTTCTCAATTTTGTGCAATCCCAACTGCCTTTTCCCTTAATTACAGATCGGTAATTAAGGCTGTCCTAAGAGATGCTTCTTTCCAATTGACTACACTGAATCTACCTGTCCTAGAGAACCTGCTTCAAGACACAGTAGGATTATTCTCTTAGAACTAGCTTAAATAAGGTTTGTTCTTCACTAAAACAGCACAGAGGTTACAGGGAAAAGACGTGCTCTCTCAGTCACTTTTTCAGTTAATTATCTCAGCGGGCAACCCCAACTGTTCCCTCTTTATGGACGCAATTAATCCAGTGAGTGGCAGGAACCAGCACAGAGAGTCAAGAATAGTATAAAAATTACTCTCTGCTTAGCAATCATAACATTGCTGGTTAGTAATTTAAAAATATGGGTAAGTTGCTATTCTCTGCATGCTCAAGAAAGTGAATAGAGCAGAATTTCATTTTAATTACTCTCAATTACAAATGTAATAAGAGGATGAGAGGCAGAAAAAATGAAGACAGCTATATAATATTTTGGTCAATTTAACACAAAGTAGTCATGTTGTTGATTAACTTGTATCAGAGCCAAATTTTAAGTGCATAATGAATTAGATTATTTCAGCTCAGATGAAACTATAGCTATCAGGGCCTTATTTAATATTTGAAATATGAAACGTTCTCCTTTCTTAAAGTTTTGCTGTTCAAAGTACCCAGTTTACTCCCTGACAAAAATCTACTATTATTACCTGAAACAAAGACTATTAGCCATTCAGTCAATTACTGGCCATGAACCACAAACCAGGTACTGGATTCAGCATCAGGTTTACACAGTGAAAACAAAGACAGAGCACCTGCTCTCATGAAGAAACAGGAAAAACATATGCTAAGCAAAGTATGCTCACTTACAAAAGAGAAATATAGAGTACGGTGCACGGATTCATGCTCATTGAAAGGATATTAATTAGAAGAAATATTTTAATATCACTATTTGCCCTTTCTCTAAAATAGAAGTGTCAGAGATTAAAGAAAGTTAGTAAAATGTATATGAAAATAATATATAAGTTGATTAATAAACAATAACATGATATAAAAACAACAAAGACATGATATAAAAACAACAAAAACAACTAAATTCACAATCAACAATGACATATCAAAACACACACATGTGATTGGTGCCAGTGAGAGCTTTATATGTATCGTGTATGCGCAAGGCAATGTTTATTTTTAAACTAGCGGCCTGGTGCACAAATTCGTGCATCAGTGCGGTCTCTCAGCCTGGCCTGCGGGATCGTGCCAAAACCGGGTCTCTGACATCCCCCAAGGCATCCCAGATTGCAAGAGAGCGCAGGCCAGGCCAAAGGACTCCACTGGTGCACAATTGGGGCCCGGAAGGGACGCGGGAGGTTGGCCAGCCAGGGAGGGGCTGCAGGAGGGCTCTAGGGTGTGTACAGCCCATCTGGCTCAGTCCTGATGGCCGGACCCCAGCAGCAAAGCTAACCTACCAGTCAGAGCGTCTGCCCCCTGGTGGTCAGTGCATGTCATAGCGACTGGCCAACCGGTTGTCTGCCCCCTGGTGATCAGTGCATGTCATAGCGAATGGTTGAGCAGCCTTAGCATATCATTAGCACATTACACTTTGATTGGTTGAACGGCCAACCAGACAACTAGACGCTTAGCATATTAGGCTTTTATTATATAGGATTGCCAGTGTGTGTCATATGTACTGGTCGGATGGTCGGTCACTTAGCCTTTTACATATATATATAGATAGATAATAAAAGCATGAAATTATAAGACTTAACTTACTTTAAAAAAAATTTTCTCTTTCTCTAGCTGCACAAATGATTTGTGTACTATATACTGTTGATAGCTATAGGTACACAAAATATAATAAAAAGCTGAAAAAGAAAACCCCATTAATTATGTTAGTTTAAGTGGATTAACAAACTACTGTTTATATATTATTTTCCTACTAATCATTTGGAACAGAAAAGCACTTGCTGCAGCTTACCATTTTCCTCGACTGTCATGGGAATATTGATCTCCAAATAGGAGCCAGCACCAACATTGACATGCACAGCATTTGTTTCCTAACAAAACAAAAAAAGTAAGTCACATAAAATATTCATTATAATTACATTCCCATCTTTACCTTTTAGTTATTATCAGAGACAAAAATATAACCAGCAATGATATTAATAGGTATTCAAAATGCCCAAGAACACACCCTGCACAGAGTGGGTCTGTGGTTAGAATGTTGACCCATGTACCACAGGGTCCCAGGTTCGATTCTGGTCAAGGGCACATACCTAGGTTGCAGGTTGGATCCCCAGCCCTAGTCAGGCGAGTGAGGTAACCAATTGATTTATCTCTCACATCGATATTTCTCTCACTCTCTTTCTCTCTTACTATCTCCCTCCCTCTCTCCTTCCCTTCCACTCTCTCTCTAAAAATCAATGGGAAAAATCTCCTCCGTGAGGGTTAACAAAAAAATACACTAAAACAATTTGGGCTGATATAAAGAAGAAAATGAACCAGACTATAGCATAAAGGTTTGTTGATTAATTTCTGTCTACTATTTGGCACTTAATGAAAATAGTATATATACAATTATTGGGGGCACAGTGGTAGGAAGCTCATAGAAATGAATCTCAGTATAGGACTAGTCACCAAAAATTGCTCTGGAAAGTAATATTCAAATTTTAAGCACTATTTTCTCTATATTATTTCAATAATTACCCTATTTTTGGTAAACAGCAAGTCAATTGTAGCATCTGCAATAATATTCATTCGCAGTTCAAAGGCAAGGATCTGTCTTGGTCTCCCTGGCTGTGCAATTTCAGAAACTTTCAGAACTTGATAATCAGGTGGGAAGAAAAACTTCCATAAACAATCTCTATATAAGAAGGTAGAAAGAATAATGACATTTTATTCCAACAAAATGATTTCTAATAAGGGACCAAAATCAATATTTGAACTTGATATGTATTATCACTACTCTCTTATTTAAAAATAGACAAAATACAAAAAATTAAGTCACAAACACCTACTATAATTTCCTCTCAATAAAACAAAAGAATGTTTTCTACTGTGAGAAATGAAAGACTTTCTACAAGTATATCAATAGTCCAGATGGCAAAGTTGCTGAACTAACTATAAGCAACGTCTATTTACATAAAAATTTGGATGTGTCCTCATCACTACTGGTAAATGTCCTCTCCTTTGTTTAAAATTCTTCCTCCCCTGGCTAACACTTATGTTTCAAAACTCAACTCAAATGTTCCCTCTACCAAAAAGCCTCCCCCAATTCTTTTCTTCTTAAATCTTTAAAATGATTTATGTACCTTTTATGGGCTGAATTGCGTACCCCTAAACATTCTTATGTGGAAGTCCTAACCTCAGAATTTGGCTGTATTTGGAGACATGGTCTTTACAGAGGTAATTAAGTTAAAATGAGATGTTTTTGGTGGACCCTAATCTAACATGACCGATATTCTTCTAAGAAGAGGAAATTTGGACAGAGAACTTACACAAAAGGGAAGACCACGTGAAGATGCAGAGAAAAGACAGCTATCACAAGAAACACATCATTCCCTCACAGCCCTCATAAGGAACTAGCCAACACCTTAATCTCAGAATTCTAACTTCCAGAAGTGTGAGAAATTTGTCTGTGGTATTCTGTTATGGGAGCCTTAGCAAACCAAGTCAGTACCTTTCTAAGTTTTTCAAGAGTTTTTACTCACCTCTATTACAGCATGTAATAAACCTCTTTTGTCTCTTTTTTCATCCACTAACTAAACTATCTTTGTATTTAGTTCTGAATCTGCATCACCCCAACAATCACTGGCATATTTGTTGATTAAATACTTAAGGAAAAACAAAGGAACCAATAAATGTGCTGCTCATTCATCATTTTTCTAATGAGTTAACTCCTCCTTTGCAGTGAACTTGATTAAACCAATTTCTCTACACACAAGTTATTATTTGGATTAAAATGTCTAGGAATATCTTACCCTGCCATAATAAAATAGCTTAGAAAACTATTATGTTTTAATAAAAATATAGTATTAGCTCAATACATTTGAAACTTATTAGAAATATAATTTATTCAAGTACCTCTGTCTATCGGCCCATGGCCCATAGTTGAAATCTGTTCCTTTACCACAAACTATATCAAGTCCCCAACACGGAGGCAAATCTTGTAATTTGCAATCCTCACTACTCAATTCTCCTTCAATATTTTCCTCTGTTTCTTCTGGTACAAGTCCTGCATTGCAGAATATACAACATAAAGGCAGTTATTTAAAATAACCATTAAAATGTTCCTGTAGATCAGCAGTTCTAACATATTTTTTTTTATTTCAGGAACACTTTACACTCTTAAAAATTATTGAGGACCTGCCCGGCTGGTGTGGCTCAGTAGTTGAGCGTCCACATATGAACCAGGAGGTCACGGTTCAATTCCTGGTCAGGGCACATGCCCAGGTTGCGGGCTCAATCCCCAGTAGAGGGTGTGCACAAGAAGCAGCTGACCAATGATTCTCTCTCATCATTGATGTTTCTATCTCTTTCTCCTTCTCCTTCTTCTCTGAAATCAATAATTTTTTTTAATTGAGGACCCTAAAGTGGGTATTTTTGTATTATCTCTATCAATACTTACTGTATTAAAAATTTAAATTGATCAATTTTTAAATTTTTTATTTTATTAAATAAGAAGCCCATTATGTTGATAGTAATAAATTTTAATGAAAATAATATGAAAATAACTATATTTTAATGAAAGATGAAATTTTAATTTCATTTTTAATAAAAGTATTTTAATAAAAATAACCACATTTTCTAAAAAAAATTAATTTGAGAAATGTTGGTATTGTTTTTACTTTGGCAAATCTCTTTAATGTCTAGCTTAATAAAAAAATGTGAATTCTCACAGCTGCTTCTATATTAAGTCTGTTGTTCAAGGATTTGAAGAAAACCTAGCCTCATACAAATAGGTGGATAGAAAAGGAAGGAGTATTTTAATAGCTTTTTCTGATAGTTCTGGGTATTCTTTGACACTACTCCAAAATTCAACAAGTAGTAGTTTCTTAAAGGTTACAATGTGGAATCTGAAGCCATATCACTGAACTTCTTACATTAAAATATACTATCTCTCTTGCACTTTGAATAAATCTTTTATCCATGGCCTGATTTTGCAACAGCATGCATTGATCATTTGGAAAACATGGGTTCACTACAACATACATACTTTTTCAAATATTAATAAATTTCATCATCAAACATTTTAAAAATCACATTTGTTAACATCACTGGTGGTCTTATGAGAAAAATTACCAAACTCACAGTTGCAGACTCAAATTTTTTCAAAATCCTAATTTTGAAAAACCAGTCTGTCCCTAGCTATTGTTTCAAGTTAAGAATCAGTGAAAATATCAACATGGTGAAAAAAGGCAAACAGCATCCTACTTTTACTTTTAAAATATTTTGACCTTATAAAACCCCAGGAGAAAGATCAGGAAAAAAAGGGGGCTAAAATCCAATGTTTAGTAACTTTTATAAAATGGAAACCATCCATGAAGCATGGTAGCTGGATTTTAATCCTGAAACTGTTAGCCTCAAGTCTAACATACTGTGAGTTGTTTTCCTAACTAACATGAATTACCTTAACCATCATCATATTCTCAAAGGTTTTCACTCATGGTAATTTTCATTCACAATTTTTGAGGTATATTTGATAACATGGAATTTGAAGGAAAGGTTACAATATCATTTTGGTCTGAAATACTAAAGTCATATTCAACTTTTAACAACGACACAGGTATTTTTTAGGTAGGCACTCAACATTTATTAAAACTTATTTATATCCTAAGTAAAGAGACTTAAAATATTATTAATATCCCATTTCATAGAAGAAATAGAATTGCAGCTATGAACTATACTTTCAAAAAGTCTTACCTGGCTCGTCCATGTAGTAGTAGATGTCAACATCATTTGACTGCATCACCACAAAGCCTTCTCCCATTAATCTCGGTGGCCTATGAGAAGGGGCAAGGCAAACTAAGTACAACTCCAGCATACAAACAGTTCAGTGTTCTAATTAATGGTGGTGACAGGTGAAAACAAACAAACAAAAAAACAAACGCATCAAGGGTAGCATCTTGAAAAGGTAAGCCATCTTTCACAGACAATAAATTGTTCCATAGTTGTATTCTATATTAGACTAAATAATGAAATGATACTGAAATATTTTTAATCAGTAGATTGGTTCAATAGGGAAAAAAGAAAAAAAATTGTTTCACGTTTTCATTTTAAGTTGTGAATAACAGAAATCAATTTAAGACAAAGTTAATTAAATACAATGGAAAAACAATGTTCATCAGAATACAATAATTATATTCTGTATTTATAACAATTAAACTTTAAATTCAATCATTTTCTATTAATAACACTACAAAACTGAAGAAATATCACTTTATATATCTGTAAAATAAAATAAGCTTTCCAAAACATTACATAAGAAAAAATGTTGTTGCCGAAACCGGTTTGGCTCAGTGGATAGAGCGTCGTCCCGCAGACTGAAAGGTCCTGGGTTCAATTCCGGTCAAGGGCATGTACCTTGGTTGCGGGCACATTCCCAGTGGGAGATGTGCAGGAGGCAGCTGATTGATGTTTCTCTCTCATCGATGTTTCTAACTCTCTATCTCTCTCCCTTCCTCTCTGTAAAAAAACAATAAAATATATTAAAAAAAAAAAGAAAGAAAAAATGTTGTCATTTTTATTTTTAACAACTTTACATTACCTATTTCCAAGAATATTTATTTGATCAACTTGAATAAAATTTAAAGCAAACATCTCGAACTCAAATTCTGGATTGACTGTTTCTCTACAATCGCTTTCCCACAAACTGTTCATCTTTCATTGCTTTAACAACTTTTTACTTTGTCATACACCACAGTATCTTCCTTCCACATCAAAATAAACTTCGCAGTCATTAAATAATAACACAAATTCAGCAATATTCTTCTTAAAATATATTAAATCTTAAGGTTAATGTTTATTTTTTAAATATATTTTATTGTTTTTTTACAGAGAGGAAGGGAGAGGGATAGAGAGTTAGAAACATCGATGAGAGAGAAACATGGATCAGCTGCCTCCTGCACACCTCCTACCGGGGATGTGCCCGCAACCAAGATACATGCCCTTGACCGGAATCGAACCTGGGACCCTTGAGTCCGCAGGCCAACGCTCTATCCACTGAGCCAAACCAGTTAGGACAATGTTTATTTTTTTAATATATTTTTATTGATTTCAGAGTGAAGGGAGAGAGAGACAGAGAAACATCAATGATGAGAGAGAACTGTTGATCAGCTACCTCCTGCATACCCCTTCCCGGGGATCGAGCCCAAAACCCAGGCATGTGCCATAACAGGAAATCAAACCATGACCTCCTGGTTCATAGGTCAATGCCTATCACTGACCAGTACCTGCCAGGCTTAATGTTTAATGTCGTCGTTTAACCTGCACACTTTTAAAGAGTAAAAAACACAATTTTAAATCTTTTTATACAAATTAATAGCAGAACACTTTTTCATCTTACTCTCTAATAATTTTCACAAAATCCAGATTTATTTATTCATGCAGTATTAAACTTTCAGCTGTAAGTGCAGCATTATGTGCTGAGCAAAGCCCCTGATCCTGAAGAGTGGGCCCAGGCAGACTCACAGCCTCGCCAGTCTCCAAAGGGAAACCTCTCTACCACTCCAGCCAGTGCCCAGAAAATTGAACAGCAAAAAGTTGGAACTAAAAGGGAATAATCATGCTTCTCACGACTTCATAGATTGTATGTTGCCTACAAAGATATACGCTGGGACATAGAGGAATATCATCCTATGAATACTAAATTACACAAATTCAACCAGAAAGTCTCCTCATACAAAAAAGACATCGTGAGCCCTCATCCTACCATGAACGCATGCCCTGGAGTTCCTTCAGTTCCCAGTCCTCATAGGGAAGCATCCTGCCACCACGAGGGCGAGTCCACGGTGCATCACTAATGCTCCCTGTCTCCTGAACGCAAGCAGCTACTTCACAGGTAGAAGACAAATCTGGAAAGCTAGGTGGAAAACTACCCAGGACTTGCATACCAAGCAAGTTCCATCCTAACTGTACCATCCTAACTTCAACAGATGTCCAAGAGTAATTTTGTTTCCATTTTCAACTTTTCTCATTAACTCAGAATGGTACTCCACTATAATGAATTTGCTGAATTTACTATTTATCCATTCCTTCTGTAAATAAAAACCTACCTGTAATGTGTAAACATCAAATACCAGGGCTAATTTCCCAAAATGAGTTTTTCAAATACAGTTAAAAGGAAGACAAGGGTAAAAAAATTAGTCATAATTCTATAGAAAAATATTTAAAATTAGAGTTTACCAATGGATAGTATATCCACTTACCTTATAAAGCAGGACTATACTGTTAATTTATTAGAAAAATGTACCTAATTAATGCCCAGCTTGTAACAGAAATTAAAAGGGTGCTAAAAATCAAATTGATATCTATATTAGACATATGTAAGATGTTCTTACTCATCATTTTGAAGACCAACATATCTTGGACTAGGAACAAGCATGACTCGAACATTTTCAAGCTTTCCTTTCACAATATGCATGAATTGGTCAAGGTGACTGGAAGGTGGTTTTGTAGTATAAGTTAAAAAAGCATCATCAAAGTTGATACACAGAGTTTGAGGTTGGTAATGATTTCCAAAGGCCAGGCGACCCTACAAAAGATAAAAGATAGTATGTCATACTATAAAAGCTATACTTTTTTCCTTAACTGACCTAATAACAAACATTTTCAAGCAACAACTAGATGATTCCACTTTAGCACTATCTATATTTAAATCACTCCACTGATCAATTTAGACCTGGTTTTTAAAAAATTTAAGCACTTGTGAATAAATAGCCTTTCAGGTCTAACAAATTTATGCTAAAATGATATTGGTGTTAAAAGAATCCTTTCAGGAAAACCAAGATGGCGGCATAGGTAAACACTGGAAATTGCTGCCTCCCACAACAAATTCAAAAATACAACTTAAAGACAAAACAGACATCATCCAGAACCACAGGAAGGCTGGCTGAGTGGAAATTCTACAACTAGAAGGAAAGAGAAAAGCACACTGAGACTCAGAGGAGGTGTGGAAGTAAAGTGCAGAGGTACAGAGGCGCACGCGGCAAGGGCTGGCAACTGAGGACGCTGTCTTTTTGAATCGGGAGGGAGTCACAAGCCCCTGACTGCTCTGAACTCCAGTTCCGGGTGAATCTCTGGGGACCCAGACTCATATGGGGAGAAATTGGACTGTCTGGCAGCGGGCAGAACTCGGAACTCGAGGGCGGCTTTCTCTCAAAGGTGCTTGCAACAATTACCGATTACCGGGACACTGAGACGCGGAGCCCCTTAGGGCAGAGCTGAGGATCAGCCATAGCTGCTTGCTCCGCCCTGTTGATTCCCTGAGACCCTGCCCCACCCAAGCTGCAGCAGAGGCTTTTGCATATGAATGCGCTGGCCCTTCGCAATCTGAAAACTACCTAACAAACTGCAGCTGGGCCAGACCGACCCAGAACTTCCAAGAGAAGGCCCAAGGCCCCACAGCAGCTTGCATTGCTTCACAGCTGGGCCTCATTTGGGCACCTCCAAACCCCAAACAAGCAAGGGGAATCTGCAGATCTCCTCGTAGCTCCTGCTGGGTAGTCTCAGGCAGAGGCTAAATTAGCACCTCCTTAGATCCAAGAGCCAGTGTACCCAGTGGTCAGAGTGGGACCATCCAATTACAACTCCTCAGATCCATAAGGGACACACTCAGGGGGCAGACTCAGTGAGCCCCAAAGCTCCCCTGAAGCAAGTCTTGCCTCATAAAGGTGTCTTCAGCACAGAAGTTCTCCCACCGTAGACACAGCCAATTCTCACAGCCAATTGGCCTGGAGGTCAATTCCTCCCAGTGATACCTACAACAATCAAGGCTTAACTACAACAAGACTGTGCACAAAGCCCACAAAGGGGTGCACCAAGAGTGTCCACCTCAGGTAATTGGGGAGGCTGAGCCACTGGGCCCTATAGGACACCTAGCACACAAAGCCACTCTACCAACACAGGGAAGTATAAAAAATGCGGAGACAAAGAAATAGGTCACAAATGACAGAAATGGAGAAAAGCAAACGACTGGATATAGAGTTCAAAACCACACTTTTAAGGTTTTTCAAGAACTTTCTAGAAACCGCCGATAAATTTAGTAAGACTCTCAAAAAGACTGGTGAGACTGCTGATAAATGTAGTGAGACCCTCAAGAAATCTAGTGAGACCCTTGAGGTTATGAAAAAGGACCAACTAGAAATTAAGCATACACTGACTGAAATAAAGGATATTATGCAG